CAAACGTTGCAAGCGTTGGCGGGGGATTGGAAGAGCTAAGACACAACAAGAAGCAGACAAGGCTCCGACGTGGACAAAAAGTAAGGCGAAGGACACTTTGTATCTTTTGATTGTCAACGGGAAAGTCCCTTCAAAGGATGAGATCACACCCAAGGACCTATTCGAGCAGTATTTGAAGCATTTACCAGAGTTCAAGTACTTTCAAGACTACACCGCACTGGGCTTCGCCTCCAAAGCTAGGTTACCTTCGTGATAAAGCTGCAGAAAGAAAAGATAGGTCTAGCGAGGATGCGATAGCATTAGAGCATGATAGACTCATTTACCCCCCCAGGACAGAAGACACCAAAGGTCGACCTATTTGGGAGGGGTCTCCGGCCAGAGCAGCACTTCGTCAGGAATCAAAGCTGGTAAACACAAGGATCTTTTCCCAAGACTCTACGTCACAAAGTTCTTATATGAACTACGACCTGGTTTCATCAGAAACATCTACAGGATAAAGGAATGAACGGGTTGCATGGGTCAAAAGCCACAAGAAGAAAAAAAGAAAAAGAGAAGTAGGAGCTCAGCCACTCGTTGTGTTAATAGTAGATAGCTGGGTCCTCCTCTACGTTTCGTTCCTTCGATTGGTTTTTCATTACTGTAGCTAGCTAGTAGCTAGTAGTAGAGCCAACCGGAGAGCTACAAACTAGAGTTGTAGTAGAAACCCCAACGCTAAGCTTAGTATCTTCGGAATTCAACACCACCAATCAGAATGGAGGCAAATTGGCGACGTGGCACCCGTGTCAGAAGAAGGCAGCCAAGCAAAGGATCGCGCGAGGCATCGAGGCACAAATTCGAGGGCAATGACCAAGAGCCGCGGCAGGGGCGGAGCAGCGTTAAAATCACCCAAAGGAACCACCAGGACTACGGTCGGTCGTCTAGCAGAGCAAGCGCAAGCGGTGGTGGGAGCCAGAGAAGTGAGCGCTCAGCAGTTAGCAGTCTAGCAGAAGAAGACAGTTCCAACGAGGAGGACGACCGAAGCTCTACGACCGACGGGGGCGACGACAGCACTGCCGAGTCTCTCGTACGCGGTTCTGTTCCTACTGGTACTAGTAGCGCGTTTTCGAGCCCTGCACCGTCAGTAGGAAGTCGTGGTACCCGAGGAACTCCAAGACAAAGGACACCCAGCAGAACGAACGCGGCAGGTCTGGAGCTACCGTTTCAGAAGTTTCTAGCGGAAGACATCCTTGCAGAGGGAGGTATTGCCGCGATTGGAAACCATTACACGGCTTTCTTCAACAAACTAGCTAGCAAGGACGAATCTCGAGCCAGATTTTACGGTGAGAGGAAAACCAGGGAGGATGGCAGGACGCGGTTTCGAGTCGAGGAACGAATGCGCACATTGAAGGGGATGGCCGTTGCGGGACGAGTATGGGCTGGAGTGCAAACTACCGGCCGACGAATTCAACGAAGTTCTATGATTCGCATCACAGTGCGAGACCCGCAGTTATAGCGCCTCTTTGGTGTGTGTTCGGCGGATGGCAGCTTCGAGCTTCCTGTCGAGGTGGGCGTTCCAAAAAGCAAGACTCGAGGTGAAAAGCAAGGCTGCAACAATCGGCCCGAGAGCCGCTGGATGAGCTCCTCTTTCTTGCCGCCCACTTTGAGACCAAGCTCCCTGCATTTCTCTTTTAGCTGGGCCACCTTTAGCTTGGACAGCTCAGCAGCAGCAGAAGCAGCAGTAGCAGGAGCTGCAGCCTCGACACTTTCTTCGGGCTGACCACGCGCCATGTCTTCTCCAGGAGCCGCTACTTCTTCTTCATCCCCGTCTTCTTCTTCTTCTCTCAAATCTTCTTCGACATGTGGATTTTGCTGCTTTGCTAGTGTAATCTTATCGAGTCGAGTCCCAATGTCTTCCGATGAATCGGATTCTTCACCGTCAGACTCTCCACCATCATCGCTTCCACTGCTCATGGTTATTGAATTCTAATACTTGTGACTGGTATACCGTATGTGCTGACAGGAGCCATCCTTCTCTTGTTTCGATCTCGTGGGTGTTGCGTGAAACTAGTGCTAGTTTCACGCCGATTTGGCGTGAAACTAGCTAGTTTCACGCCGATGGCGTGAAACTAAGTTTCACACGGCGTGAAACTAATAGTTTCACGCACTAATGTACGCCGATGGCGTGAAACTAGCATTAGTTTCACGCCGCGTGAAACTTAGTTGCACGCTGGCATACGCACATATACGCGAGAGAATGATAAGCCAGCAGTGGTGCGTGTGCACGATTGGATTTCAAATTTCAAAATGACTTTTTAAAATGACATTTTGGACGAAACGGTAGTCGTGGATTTAACATTTCAGCCCCGTTTCCGGACCCTGCAGCGATACCGGTACAGCGTTACTGGTACCTGTACATGTACGGTACTAGTACCTCCAACACTCCTCCAACCACCAACAACACATGAACGGCTACAACGTACTCGCCACTCAACAACTGGATCCATCCAACCACTGGATTTTGGTTAAAAGCACGACTCGTGAGTGGAAGTCCCAGTGAGTCCCTGTCCAGTTGTACTATCACGTTTGAACGGAATACCACTGTTTAATCATTGTCAGCACAAAAGCCAGTGAAAAGGAGTATAGTACAAGCATAGAATGAAAACTCAACTGTCAAATCCATTGGTTGGGTTGCGAGTAGCTGGTACCACCTAAAAACCCTCTGAGCCAAGAGAAGCTTGTTTGTCCATTCGAGACAACTCGCGCCGTGCCAGTCCACAGTCCACAGCTCTCTCGCAGGGTGGTCGGATGGCGGGCATTCAAATTTGGAAAAAGTATCTTGAAGTTGATCAGAGTTAAGGATAACGGCTTTGATTGACGTTCAGCGACTGTCAGCCATTAGATTTAGACGGTTACGATCTTCCTTCGATATATTTAGCATTATTTACTTCAGAGTAGGCCTTCTCTGGAGCTCTTTTCAATTGCCACGTAGAATTTGTACCAGAACAACTGCCTCCACAACACCAACGTGCTCGTCTTTTTTGCTCCGGACCTCCTCGATTTCATTGCCCCACTCTCCGCCCTTCTCGCTCCGCCCGCACTTCCATTGAACGCCCTCTCAGCTACGCCCTCCACAGCAACCCGCGGACCGATCCTCCTGATCCATCTGTTATTGAAACTGATTCCGACAGCTTCATTATTTGCTGACAGAAATTGTAGCCGGTAAGGTATCCCAGAGGATCCCGACGATTGGATCGACGTGATAATACTTGTGTCGTGGCGATCCTTTCGGTGCTGCCCCTTGACTTGGTGCAAACACTAAAGTGAAGCAACCAGATCTTGTTCAAGCAGTGGATTCTTTTTGGATATTCTGGATTCTTTTATTGGGTGTCAATCCTCCTCTTTCCCAGTTGCATCCAAGGTCTACCCTCAAAGGATCCTCAGTTACTGACCTGTCGAAACTTTTTGGTGGAGCAACTGCAGCGAAGAGAAATAAAACCATCCATTGATTTTTGTCAGTGCTGTATTTGGCCAATTCTGGATTTTTGGACAAGCCAAGCGCAAGCAGCAGCAACCAAGAACCAATTTTCTCACTACAGTACAATACTTGCGAGAGCCCACACTTGCGAGCATTCCAAGTGGCCATCAATAAGTATTGGCACCATGAGCAGTGACGAAAAAAGCGACAAAGTCGACGAAGGACACCATGAGCCTCCCGTTGGAGACGTGCCTCCACCACCACATCATGTCAAGGACGAAAATCTGCCTCCTTCAGAGCATGCGCCAGAACATGCTCCTGTAGAAGAACATATTCATCACCCACATGAGCAGCATCCTCCACAGGGATCACCCACACAGCAAAATCCAGAAGACCCTTCAGGCCAGGAACCACTTCCTCCTCCAGATGGACAACCACCTCAACACCATCCAGGACATGAACAGCCACCTCACCCACCACCACACCCACCATATGAACAAGGGCCGGATGGAGGTCCACCCCCTGGCCATCCACATGAGCATCCACCAGGGCATGGACCACCACCACCTCCAGGTTACCCACCACAAGGGCCACCAGGAGCACGCCCACCTGACGGTTATTATGCCCCATACCCACCGCCACCTCCTGGGTATGAAGGAGCTCCTCCACCCCATCATATGTATCCTCCACCCCCTGGACATCCCTCGGCACCTGGACATATGCCACCACCTTATCCGCCAATGTATCCGCCACATTATCATCCACATTACCCGCCTTATCCAATGTACCCACCCCCACCCTATGGATACCCTGAACATCACCATGCACCTCCTGGAGATCGGCGGTATGATCAGAATCCACAGGGGTCTCCCGGTGGCTATGGTAAGTCTATCAAGTGCATTGTGTTGGGTTTTTGTTGACGAATTGGTATACAGATGCTGTTTGGACTTACACACAACAATGACACTTTTGTCTCTACTTGAAAACTTTAGATGATGATCCCAAAGACGGCAACATTATTCCTGGTGCTGTGACGGCTAGGCTCAAGACTTATATCAAGCCTAGGATTCCGTCCACTCAGGAGGTCTTGGATCGTCGTTCTCGCAAAAATGCTCAATCTCGTGCCAGAGCTGCCAAATTGAGAGACCGCATATCAGAGATTGAGAGCAAACCGGAAGCAGAACGGACGGAAGAAGAGAGAACCATTTACGGCCAATACGAGGCTCGCCGACAACGGAAGAATGATCGTTCCAGAGAGCGTGCTTTGGAAAAGAAAGAAGAGATTGATCGGATCTTGGCAAAACCAGAAAAGAAACGAACAAAGATTGAAAAACAGTTCTTGGAGACAGCTTTGTCTGCCAAGAAGAGAAAGAATGAGGGTGATCGTTTGCGTCGACAACGACTGAAAGAGCTAGGACTCTCGTCAAAGGGGACAGGTGTAAAGCCAGGAATCAGTGCCCGTGGTCCTTTGCCACCACAGTATCAGGCACAACGTGGGGGATACCCCCAAGACATCCCAATGTCACCCCTGCCAACAATGCCACACCATCATCATTCTCCCGGAGGTTTCGGATCACCAGGAATGCACATGTCCTTCCCGAGTCCCTCTCAAGGAGGACAGCGTCGACCTCCTTCGGCGAATGAGGGGCCTCCTGATCCCGAAGGCATCGAAACACCGCGACGAGAAGGACAACAGCCTTTGCCATATATTCCTCCTGAAGGCGAGGATGGGGGCGGTGATGCTTCGAGAGTGGAGCAGCGAAGGAACCCTGATGGTTCCATGAGCATCTCGATTGGTGGGAATAGAGGTGACGGAGATCCCGCTGCCTATCAACAGGGGGGCGAGGGAGAATCCTCTGTCAATATATCCGATGTGTCTCATTTGCTGCTGAACGAGAACGACTATGGTGGTGATAGCGGTGTTGCTGAACAATCTGCCGAGAAAGCGGAGGAGTGAAATGAATGCCCTCCTTCCGGTTTTGTATCCTCGGAGATGGTTGTGTGATTTTTATACATGGACATGTAGTGACATCGGGCTCTTTGTGAAGTGATTTGGGTGGTTATGTTTCAATAAAGGAGTACAGATAGAGAGGCTGCCTTGTGGTACCTTCGAGAGGCCTGATAAGTCACACTTGCTGCTGCACATTGTATTGCCTGAATGATTGGCTCTTGAATGTCAACAAAGGAATTGAAAGCTAGACTGTAGAAACACTGGCCTAATGCATAGATTTTCGTTATGAAAGTATAAGCACCCCTATTGTGTCAATGGTGAAACATCATCTTGGAATTGGCGCCTCACTCTTCGTCAGAAGACAGCTCAATGACTGCCTGATTGCTCCTTGTTGGGCTCTTCTTACGCTGCCGCTGCGATCCTGGCTTATCTTCACGACGGCGACCTGAAGAGATGTCCGTCGTTTCCTTTTCCTTCCCGCAATTTCTCTTGTCTGACTGGCCCCCCTTCTCGTTGGCTTTCTTGGCACTGCTTGGTCTGCAACGAGACAATGAAAATCGTGGAGTGGAGCTCTCTGCGACAGCGGAAGCAGGACTCTCTGTTTTGACTTTCTTGGCACTCGACGGCCCGTTAGAATGTTGGCTGGTCGGTGGCTTGGCAGCAGCTGCGGTCTCTTCTGCATATCGTTTCTTCTTATTATCGGGTGTACGATCTTCCGTGGCTGTGGCTGTTGGAGGGCGCTTCTTTGTCTCCACCATTGCCGTACTCTCACTACCCGCCCCAGACTCCAGAGACTCCTTGCGTTTATGAGCTTTCAGCTTTTCCTTGAACGACTTCTTCTTCTTGTCGGGTGCTGCAGCTGCTTTGTCATCAGTGCCCTCGTTGGGTTTGCTGGCAGGCTTGGCGTCGTCAGCAGCATTCTCCTCTGCTGCAGCAGACTCAGGCTCGAGAGCTTCATCGTCATGCTTTTCGAGTAGTGCCTCGTGGAAGTAATACTTTGAAATGCTCACGGTCTTGTTGTCTTTCGACTCATCGCTGGAGCAATCATCAAGCAGCTTACTCAAGATCTCGTCCTTGCGCGCTTGGGCCTCTTTGGCTTCCGCATCTTGAACACTGATGGTGGCCCCCTCATCTTCACCCGCCTCTGCTGAGATCCTGTATTGGTGTCTTCCGGCGACGGCTTCGGCGTGTTCACCCTTGGCACCAGTGTCCACGTAAGCGAGCTGAAAGTGCTTGTGATACCAGCGATTGTCCTTTTCTGATGCATTGCAATTATTGTTCACGTTGTCGTTGACGTTCATTGAGCAGTCCCACTTGTCTGAAGTGCAGTAACAGGAGCATCAAACAACCAAAGTTGAGAGGCCATTCAACGAAACATAACCCAGCACAGACGGGTCTACGGTACCTGGGAGATCTTCTTCTTCTTGGCCCTTTATCATTCTCCACTTCTCACACTTGTCGCAACACACCCAAGTATCATTCAGAACCAAATTCGAAAGCTCCTGTTCCGTAAAGGCGCCTTCAAAAGACTTGCCATCAATGACACGCATAGAAAGACCCTCTTTGTTTACGCTCCTGCTGTACACCTTTTCCTCCGTTGTCCCCTCTGGCCGATCAAGTGAAACTTGAGCGTGAGTATGCCGACTCGAAACTATTCCAAAGCTAGACCCACCCCTGGGAGCTGCCTTACCTGTGAGAAGGCGATACACGAAAACCGACTTTTCTTGCCCGAACCGATAGCACCGAAACAGAGCTTGATTCATGACGGTTGGGTTGAAGTGGTTGTCCATGAGCACAACACGATTTGCAGCTGTCAAAGTTATCCCAACATTCCCAGCGCGAGATATCAAGAAAAGTTGCCGAGTGTTCACATTGTTGAATTGAGAAATCAGGTCGCCTCGCTTCAGGGACTCTGTTTTCCCGTCCAGCCTTAGATATTCTTGACCCAATGCCCAACCGCCAAGTTTGGTTCCAGGGAAAGAAGACTTCAAAGACTTGCAGTGCGCAGACCAATTCCCTAGCTGGAGCGTCTGTTCTATGTAATCCAACGTTTTCAGACAGTTGGCAAACACCACCACCTTATCCCCGATCTGGTGAGCATGTGTCAGGATGTGCAGAAGTAGCACAATCTTCCCGCCGTGTTTGACTTGGCTGACTTTGTCTACTCCCATTTTTTCGATTGGTTTCTTCCACCATCTTTCATCGGCGAAGTTTCCTGACTCGTCGTCATCGTCATTCTTTCCTACTTTCTCGTCGTCGTACTTGGAATTCATCAACAGGCAAGCTGGGTGATTGTGTATAGGTCTGGGTTCGGCAGAATAAGCATGAAGATATTGAGGGTGACCAACTGCTGCGGTACAATAGATTCGCGACGTGACATGCTCACCTGCTACGAGAATACTTTTCCAGGAAGTTGTTCTTGTCAAGTGTGTTTTCGTAGCGTTTCAACGCTGTGTAAAGGCGAGTCTGGACCTTGGTGGGCCGGACATGGAGTACGACTTGCGACAGCGCAGGCAGAAAGTCTCGCAGCACGCTCACGTCTTTCCGATGGACGAACGGCGAGAGAATATTGTTCAGCTGCTTTGACTTCAGGCTGGAGATGTAGCAAAATGCGAGGAACGCGTGAGTGACGACGAATCAAGGATTGGACGAGGAGGCGCACTGTTAGGAACACACCTGCTCTCCCGACGCTGCTCTATCGATGCGTCAGAGGGCAATCCGGCCATGATAGGTTGGGCAAAGTTGGTGTCAAACGCTGACTCTGTGGCTTCCAGAGCATCTGGACGAATCCATTGACACATGCGATAATACTCCAACACTTTGAAGGATTGCGACAAAGAAAGAGCAGGTGAGGCAAATTGAATGCCGAGGAAAGTTGGATGGCCGGGAATATCAAAAAAGCGCGCACTCACCGTTGTTTTGGAACGGACTACCCGTGAGCAAGATTCGGCGCTTCGTTCGGATCTCATTGAGAGCCTTGTAGAGGACACTAGTTTTGCTGGAAAGACAAAGGTGTGCTTCGTCAACAACAACCACATCGGGACCAGGCGATAGCAGTTTAGCAGACATGACATTTTCCTTGGACGAATTTGCGAAAATATCCTTGGTCACAACGAGAACACCGCCCCTTTGGGCCCATTGGTTGACGATATGGGGACGAGACAGCTTCCCGTGATCGTTGAGCACAAAAAGCAGCAAGGAGGGCTTGAGGTTACCCGTCCACTTCCTAAAGACGAAGGAATGCGATTGCCGAAGTGAGGACTGCCGAAAACAAAATGAACCAGTCGAGCATTCGAGCGTACCTGCATTCAAACTTCCAGCTCTCCACTGTATTCTTCGGGACGATGAGCATCGCAGTGTGCACCATGCCTCGGCGCATCTTCTGATCAATGAGCGAAGGATGATTCAGCAATGTGTGCAGAAGGGCTATCGTGGTTAAGGACTTCCCAAGCCCCATGGACTGGGACGCAGGAGAAAGCCATTCGATTCGTGAGCCTTACACAGCAATCATGACCGGTGCGACTATAAAGTTTCTTCACTTACATGGGCAAGGATGGATCCACCAACATCTTTTTCTTCGCTGAGACCGGCTTGATCATTGCTCGTTCGCACATTCAAGTCCTTGCACGCATTTCGCCACATGAATTGGACACCTTCCTTCTGATGCGGCTTCAAATGCGCTACTAGGTCTTTGGATACGGTGACCGTCTTGACCTTATGATCACTCGAAGAGTAGACATTCGGTGAGGACAACACAAGATCAGAGTGTGGCCAATCGTCGTCCGGGTCATCTTCCTCATCGCTGGCGTCCTTGCTGGCCTCCCAATATTCGAATTGCAACGCCTTTCGTGGGTTTCGTGCGAAACCCGTAGGTTTTCGCCGTTGATGCAGAGCAGGGCTATCATCAGTGAGATCAACAAACGCGGAGGATGAGAATGGCTTTGGTTTGCGGAGTGGATTGGCGGTTTCTTGGTCGGCTGCGGTATCATCCTTGGTCTCCTCGGGGACAGGAGGCAATGATGCCGCTGGAGGTGGTTTTTTCTTCTTCTGTCGCTCTTTCATGAACGATACGTATGTGTCTCGTCGAACGCTGGACACGCCATTGGATCCCTGTTGTGATGTCTGCTCTTGCTCATCGTTTTCTTCTTGCGCGTCTGCGTCGTTGTCAATCTTGAGTTGAATTCTGATCTTTTTTTCCTTCAGTAGTTCGTCTTCCATTTTCAGCGCCATTTCAATTTGTCTTTGCGACGGTCTTTCGCTGGTAGACCGGAACCCTTCCCCCAGAGTGCTTCGGTCTTGCTCGTCTTCCGCCTTTGTCATGAGGTCCTCCAAATCGACATAGGTATCCTGTGAGCAGAAGGAGCAAGGGATACGTGAGCGGGAATGTATTCATCATGGGGCAACGCTAGCAGCACAACTTGATGACTTACCTGTTCGTACTTTCGCGGAGATAAAATGTTTGGAATCGGTTGAGGGGGTTGCGCCTTATCCCGCCGTCGAATCTCCTCATCTGCCTTCCTTTTCCACTCTGGATCCACTTCCTCTCCTTCACCTGCATTTTGGTCGGTGAATCCTTCTTCGCTGAAGTATTTACGATAGACCTTGGCCAGATCAAGCTTGTGCCCGACCTCAAGTTCTTCTTGTAGACTTGTCGCCATGTCTCCAAGCCTGGCGTCATGCTTTCCCCATTCCTTAATCAATCTTTTGATTTCACCTTCTTCAAATTTCGCCACCTCATCTGCGCTCGAGTGAGGGTTTTCTCGCTCATATTCTCTGGAGATTTCCAAACGTTTGGCTGCCAGGAAGGCTGGATCATCCCATTTCTCACAGGCTCGTTGCTCTGCCTCTACGCAGTCCAATTCTTTGAGGATCTCGTCGACGCTCCGCTTTGGAGATGAATCTACATCGGCACTGTCTTGGGACAGCTGGTCGACAGTTGTGGCGGTACTCTTTTGGTCCAACCCTTGCTGCAACTCTTCCAGCTCTGGCTCGGGCCCACACATCAGGCACATCCAGTCGTCTTCTTCCTCTGCCAATTGATCCGCAAATTTCAAACCCTTGTCACCTCCTCCATTGGCTTGTGCGACGCAGGTGCTGCAAAACTGTCGAGGGCAGCGATCGCACAGGAACATCGTATCGGCGGGTTCTGCACAGCCATGGCAAATGTCGTCCCCGTCCGTACCAGCACTTCCATTCTGATGATTTGCAACTTCTTCGCTGCACACACAGCAAACAGGGACTTGCAAGACCGGATGAACATGCATGGCGTAGCAACAGAATTGTGTGGAGTTTGGCAGTTTGAGTTTCACATGGCATTTCCAGCAGAGACAAGAAAGTTGCTGCGTGGTAGGATTTTCAATGTCGCTATCATTGTCGCTTTCATCATCAGAAAGATCGATTTGTAGCTTTGCTGCAGGGCTTTTGGGTGACCGCCGTCCAGCATTCTTCCGACGCCCAGTCAACACGGCCGGTGAAGCTGTAGTGGACCTTGTCGCAGGCGACTTTGGATGGATGGTCACTTCCATGCTGTCATCGTCAGAATCGCTATTGTCAGTGTCGGGTTGAAAGGCGATTTTGGGTTTGATTTTTCCTTGGACTGGCCGAGCAACAGCTGCTGCTGGCGAGAAATTCCGTGTCCGTGGCGAGGAGCGTGTCTTGACGGTGGAAGCAGCAATGGTGGTTGGAGCCACTCGTTTGCGTTGCTTTCCTTTCCGTCTGGAGCTGTGTGGAGAAGGCATGGCACGATATAGAGAGACACTCTAGAATTTTCAATGAATTCACAATGATCCTACAGAATTGAGAGGCGCTTCCAGCCACAAATGCCGAGAAATGACAAACACAATCCCAAACGCCCTTTGTAACCTTTGTACTCTCAGCTCTCACGCTCGGATGCCAACTCAACTCCAACCTCCAGCTTGAAGAGGCGGTCAAAGAGTTATTTTTGTTGGCCAAGCAGTGCCTTTGCCCCAGCGTCAGAGGACAACAAGAGCTCGGTGATCGCCACACTTATTGTTGAGGTTGCTTTGGGGTCCAGGTTCTTTGGGGGCGCCAAGAGACTCATTTTTGATGCCAAGAGCCCTCCCAACCTCCACCAAGAGCCCTCCCAACCTCCACCAATCCTCCCCAGCTGTACTGGCAGCTTGAAGAAACAATGACAAGGAAACTTGACACTTTTTGCACTGCTGAAAAGACAAACCAACACACCTGCCAGTCCACAAAACTGGCTTTCCATTGTGGCTGGCTCTGTGCCCCCAATTTGGACCTGCTTCCAATTTGGGGTTCAACTCTCTGTGTTCTTCCCTTGAAAATCCAAAGAATGGTTCTGTTTATGTCCTTGCTGTTCCTTGGTTGAAGGCTTGGCTGGCTCACTGGAACTTTCCACCAAGATTGAAACCAGCCCAAAACTGCTTAGAATAATTTGCTTCAACTGAATGAAAGTGCAGGTTTGCTTTGGTGACAAGAAAACCACCAAATAAAAAGAGTCTCTTTTAAAATAATTGGTTCAATGAACAGGGCAAAGTGAAGTGCCCAGGTGGAGCCCGAGTATGCTGGAAGTAGCTAAAATGACTAGCTGACTAGCTTTCCGTAAATGAGCTTTGTACATGTGCAAAGATCCTCTTCGTTGCAGTGATTGCTATTCGTTGCAGTGATTGCTATTGTGATCACATAGATAATGCTCTTGGCTGTGCCCATGCATCTGTACCAGCCAACTGATTCAAAGACTTATGGTCTGGCAGTGGTATTGGGCAGGCAGTGTTGTGTTTCTGTGTCCTTTCCAAAAGAGAGAGTCAAAGAAGTACAAGAAGAGGATTCTCTTCTACCAAGCTAGCTAACTTGCTTGCCATCTTCCAGCCAACTAAGAAGAACCAGGTGCCAACCTGATTTTGAGAAACTGAAGAAACATGGCTAGCGGTGGTGGTTGGGGGGGGGGGGGGACACACAGTTGACTCAACACAAGTAGGTCCTCTACAAGAATTAATAGCCTTGGGGACTAAAGCATTAGTCTCTACTGAAAGCAGTGCTGCTCGAGATCCAAACTCAGGAAGGATCAAAGTGTGAGTTTCGCAAGGTGCTTCATCAGTGGCAAGCAGCAGAGGAGTCGAGTCCCTGACCATTAGGGACAAAACGCTAGGCACTGGAATTTCATTAGCTAGATTCTAGGGGTTGCAACCTTTGGTTCCCGGCTCCAGCAGATTTTGCAGGCTAATGAGTCTACTCCAACTCCATGAGCTTGACACTTACTTGAGGTCCTCACATCCTTGCATGCCAACTGCAAATCAACCCTCCTTGGTTGGTATTTCTCCACATTCTGTGGCTTTGCTGTCATCCTCTATGGACCACTACTGAAGCTAAGCCTAACTGGCTTCACACAACAAAATTGATTGTTGGTCGAAGCACCTCATGCCAAACCAACCTTTATGTACAATCAACAAAGTCATCTTCAATAGTTTAGCTATTAGTAGAGTACTGGTATGGCCCCAGTGGTTGCTACCAAATTAGGCAAGATGCTTTTTGGATAAGCCATCTCAGCATCGATCCCATTTCACTAGCTGGCTGGCTGGCTGTAGAGCATGCACTGTACACACACAATGTGGCGGGGCTGATAGTGTTGCAGTGGAGAGTCCATCAGAACAGTGCTTTCTTTAGTGCAATCTTTCGCTGATTGCTTGCTAGAAAAGTGTGCCGATGGACGGTGCAAAAATTCAGAGCGGGTAATCCTTTAGGGTGCTGGTGGCGCTGACGAACTAGCTCGCCGGAATGCACCCCTTTGGTAGCGGGGAGGTTCCCCTCTGCTTGGAAAAGGGTGCTCGGAGAGACACTTCTCTAGTCCTCAGAGCTCCACTGGTGAATTCCAAGCATTTGCCAGGCGCAGCCTTAGAACCCCAATCGTATGGCAGAAACTTGATCTTGATGTCCGCGCCACCCGACGAACGGAACAATCCAGAAAAGGAGCCGGACTTTTTCTCGAACATTTTTGACAGGGCCTTGTACTTTTCTCCACGCTTCGGTAGATACTTCAAAATGACAGCGGGAAGATCCCGGTTTGACGACGCGCCGAAATCGCTTCGGTACCACTTGAAGAGCATGCTCAAATGCAACGTGTTGTTTTCTCGGTCGACAAGAACATTGGAATCTTCCTGCACAAAAGATTCAGCGGCGAGTTGCAATTCATTTTCTAGATTGTCCACGGTGTAGTGCGAAGATGGCGGACAACTGTTGGCGCCGCAGAACAACGTGAAGTGAATGCGTGGATCCAATTTGGAAACGGCCCAAGCACGTCGGGGATCGTCGCCCACGAATTGTGCAGACAGGTGGTAGGGATGTCGTGTGTTGGCGCGAATGATTCCATGCTCAACGTCATCCAGAGATAAGATTTGATTTGCAACGTTGTAGCAGACTCCCGTGAAGAAAGCTCCCCGTTGTGACGATTTCAGGGGAATGCCCACCTTGATGTATGCATGCCGAACCATGATGTTGTACAGATGAATTCCAAAGACCATTTTTTCTTCGTGTGTCATGGTGGCAGCCAGCGCCATCGGATCCATACACTGCAGCTGACAGGACCCTTCTTCCAGCAACTGAAAGTCTGGATCATCGTAGTCTTTAGCCGCCAGGAAATCGATACCATCACGACCAGTCGCTCGCACTTCAATATTGGTCAGCAGTTTCTGCAGCCGACTCAACAGAGCTAGAGCGCCTTGCGGAGTCAAGACAAGAGGCAGGGGAAAATCAGGACCACTGTCCTTTTTCTTCCTGTCATGATTGCTGCTGCTAAGGTCCAGCATGCCCTTTTTCTTCTTGTCGTGATTGCTACTGCTAAGGTCCAGCATGCCCTTTTTCTTCTTGTCATGTTGGCTGCCCATGCTGCCGAGATCTTTCTGGTCCTCTTCCACAGGCAATCCCCGAAACGATTTGGGCACAGGATGGTCTTTGGGTAGCTGTTGTAGGACTCGTTGCAAGGACTGAAAGCTGTTGAGGACCCTCGGTTCATGGAATGGTTGAAGCCTGTAGTAATATGAGGACGTATCCTGAAACTTTCGCTCATTACAAACATGATGAAGGATCCCATACTGCTGCAGTAGCAGCCCAAACTTGACAGCTTTGGCCCGAGCTTTCGCGGTTGCCTCTTCTCGATCCTCATCGCTGATGTCACTGCTGCTACTGGGGCTCTCAAAGGGATAGATTTTGAGGAGTGCATCGACTCCTTCTTTTCCGGGAAAGCAGTCAGTGTAGAACTTGGCCAGGTAGGCAAGCTTGTGTCGTGGCATGTTTTCGACCAGATCATTGGTGACTTCTCGAATGCCCGCACACGTTCCATCGGGAAGTGGAATGCAGCCAAAGTTGCTTTCCTCTCCATACCCTTCTTCATCCAGGTCAGCCTCGCTAACATTCTTTTCCATGAGCAAGGCCCTGGCTGGTACATCGACTCCTCCTTCGCCTTGCTGTGGATTGTCGCTTTTGACCACGAGAGGCGTCGGTAGCGCCAATCTGGGATCGGCCGGGTCCGGCTTGGACGCGACTTCTTCTTGATACTTGCGCCAAATGCGACAATTTTCTAGAATCCCCTCGGAAATACTGCGACCGCCAAAAGCTTTCTTTTCGGCTTCAATGACGTCCTGGCAACTGACATCATTCTCTGCTTCCGAAGCTTCATTATCCCATTGATCCAAGAGAACCAACAATTTATCGCACCCGCCAATCCAAGTATCATTGAGGAATATCTGAGGCACCGAGTATCGGCCAGCCAATTCCAACATATCCTCCTTTCGTTCTATTCATTCATTCATTCATTCATTCAGTTGTCAATCCATGCAAACCAAGGCAAAAGTCAAAGAAAGTTAGATACAACGAGCACTATGACTCACTCAACCACTTGCTAGCTAGGGCAGACAAAACATCACAGCGATCATTCCTCCTGATAATACTTCACACGTACGTACCTGGAAAGGCTCCAATATCAATTTCCACAAAGGGCAGACATCGGTACTGCAGCTCTCTCTTGGCCCGAAGGCAAAAGTGGCAATCGTTCGTGCTGAAAATGGTAATTCGGCCCATTGTGTTCCTTTCTCAATGTACTATTGGTTTCAGATGATAGGATTTGTGCGAGCAACCAACCACAAGAACACTACTAGCTAGCAGATTTCTTCAAACGCAAAATCTCCGTTTCTCTTCGCCGAGGGAACTCCAATATCACTCCAGCAGCAAAGGATGGATGGGTCGAGCAATGTGATGTGATGGCTGCGAAGTGATGTGGCCAAACAATGGACTTCCCAGGCAAGAAGTGAAGGTATCCGGAGAGCAATGGAGCGGTAAGGAAGGCGCAAGGCAAGCGAGAGAGTGGTGAAACGGTACCGGTACTTTGTTCTTTAGCGGCCTTTTGTGGTCAATGGCACTGTCATATCAGCTCGGGCAATGTTTTGGATGTTCCGCCGCGTCTACAGTGGCCATCGTCGTTATCGTGGTTGTGCTCATCTGTGTGTGCTGAGGGCACTCGGTCGCAGTTGGGAGCTTTAGTGTACCAAAGTGACGTCATACTGATTTCTAAAGCCTAAAGAGCCTTCGCAGCGGTTTTGCATGTCACGCCGCGCCCTCGAGAGTTGGGGATACCCGCACAGAACTGGGGTTAAATTTAGGCAGGACTGGACCGGCAACAACAGCAATCGCTCCACGGAACGATGATCGAGGTTATCGAAGGCAAAGGAACAAATAACAATAACTTTTGCTGTTGCCCATTTCAAGTGTTCGGTCCTTTGTGTGTTTGGTGAGCCCTTCCAATTATTTGCCGGTGGCTGTCCTAGCTTGTACCGTAGCAGTGGAGTGTGCAGTCGAATCGAATCGAACTGGATCAACAACCAATAACTCGTCCTTTTTCAAATTCGTATTGGTTGCAACCACAATCCACCACCACAATGTCTCTGACCAACGTGCTGTTGATCCACGTGTCGACTCTGTTTCTGCCTCAGACCAAGAAGCAAGAAGAGAAGGAGCAAGAGAATGAGTACTATACGTGCCTGGATCTGCCACGGTATGCACCCATTTGCGATATTCGGAAATCGTACCGACGCATTTCCTTGCGGCTGCAATGCGATCGCATGATGCTGGAATGGAACGGCTCTGAAGACATTGCAAGAGCAGCGGCGGCACTGGACGCCAAAGAAAAATCCATCAAGGATGCCTTTCAAATTTTGGGAGACAAACACTTAAGACAACAATATCATTTGCTCCAATGCAGACCGTCGCGTTATCGTGTGATTCGTGGACCCCTTTCTTGGATCCTCAATTTGACTCATTCACGACGGTGGTTCCCCTTTCTTGTATTGCAGTCCGTCATCTTGTAAGTGCACATTACAAAATGGAAATTTTGAATTGGAATAAGGATGGAGCTGACCAATCGTTGTTGTTACTGTTACTGTTGCTACACAGAGCCGCCATGGTTGACGCCACACTGAAAGGTCTCGTAACACAAGATTGGGTCATGGTTTTGATTCCATCATGGGGATATTATGGAGTTGTCTGTCTCTTTTGGTTGGCCATGCTAGAACATCCGTGGCGGAAACAATGCACGCTCCGCAGTTTTGGGGCCATGTTCTCCGCCTTTGGACAGCACGCTGCGCTCTGGCTGGGCTGCTTTTGGATGGCGCGATATTGGGATAGAGATGTACCGGAATCCATCAATTGGTACATACTATCCACGCCGTTCTATGCGGCCATTTTCTTTCGATGTCACTGCACAACCGCCGCAATTGCCTGTCTGCGAGACTTGCAATCCAAAATGGTGTCTCGAGAACTCATGGAGTCTGTGACTACCGCAAATACTATTGACACTGCGAGTCATGCCGACGACGACAACAACGATGATGATGATCATGCCGAGAATAACGACAACCACAATCAGCAAACGCAACAACAACAACAACAACAACTCCCCGAGGGATACATTGTCATTACTGGGGATGCCAACAAGGTGGCGGCGCACTTGATTGCTCTTCCGGATGAGGAAATGCAAGCCCACTCGTCGGATCCAAACAAAATGGAACAAATTCGGGTCGAATCCTCACCCGAGTACGTCCAGGTCGATCGGGCTGCTGTCAGTCTATACCGGTCCATGGTCAAATTGGCTGTCTATGGAACCATATTTGTCACACTCATGGCATTGAAACTGGAACGACATTTCAACGTTAGTTTTTGGATCGTTTTTTCACCCATTTGGATTCATTTGGGCATTCGACTCTACACTTCTTCCCGAGCTGTACGCAGAGCTACAGCCACTGCTTTTACTTCCACAACAACAACAAATAATTCAACAACAACAAATACTCCCGCAACACCAGCAACCGGAAATTCTTTGAATGGTGCTTCGAACAACAACAGTGTCCCAATCAACGTCAACGATAACACCAACATGAACAATTCGCAGTCACTTCTGACTAACCAAAGCACGGAAATGCCAGCCAGCGACATCAGTAGCATCCACCCCGACAACGCTGCTGCCGCCAAGGTAGAAACATATCCGACTGACAGCACGAATGACGACGACAACAACAATAATAATGTTGACGAAGGAAGCAGATCTGTGCCCGCTGCGCCGGATTCACCATTCAAAGAACAGGTTGTTGTCGATATCGTCATGCAGGCTGTCACGCAATCCCTCTCGCAAGACGAAGGGAGTACGACTGGAGTCGAAATTCCCCGTGTGGAGACCATTTTTCGTGGAGATAGCGTCGGGGCTGATCAAGTCATTACAGAACCCGCAATTGCCAACAACAACAACACGGTCGACGATGGTAAAGCCCAGGACTCGCTTGTTCCAGATTCCAATCCGACTCCTGATCTTCCTGTGGAACCTGATGCGCCATCCGATCACTTTGATATGGAGACCGGATTGGTCGAGCGAGTACCGCTGCAAACGGACGATCAAGTCGACGCGCTGAATCCACTGGATTCAAGCGGAGAACCTCAAGAGCACAAGGTGAACGAGCTGGATTTGGATCCGGCGCCGCAGAATGGTCAAGAATCGGGTATTGAACACATGGATTTAGAAGCAGGCATGGTTGTCGATGGGATGATTAGTATCAAGACAATCTTCTCCCCCGAAATTAACACGACACAACCGGAGCTGGTGCAAACAGAAAGTACGGCCAGCATTCACTTTCTCCCATCCTTGGCGAGAGGATCATTTTCTGCCCCCGGCGATAAACCTTTGTTGGATCTATTAGCTGATGGGGATAATCAGCAGCAAGCGACAACAAACGAAATTGTTCCAGAGAACCCGACCATCCCAGAAAACGACATCAACAATACATCCACCACCAACGTAGCTCTCGCCGCAGTCGATGAAGGCAACACAATCATTGTGACAACAAATGGCGCCATCTCCACATTAGAAGCCACGCAGAATACGCCCAACACCGCCGCGCCACCAGTTCAAGATTCCAGCCATGCATCTCAAGCCGAGGCACCGGCAGTACGCGAGGAGTTTGAAAGATGGCAATCAGTGTACGAGAATCAAGACATTCGCACTGCGCAGTTCCACTTAGTGCCCTGTGAGGTCTTCTTTCAGCTCTTGGTTTTGTGCTTGATTGTGGCGAAGCTCGATTCGGATTATGACACTGACGATCCGAGTGGATTCAATGCTTTTCTGGTAATCCTGATCCCATTCTCGATTGGACTCGTCGTCTGCTGCTGTGCGATCATAGCGGGGTGCATCGAACTTGCCCACCAAGAGCTAAATCGCGCAGACCCCACTGCAGCGGTCATCGACCCCGCAGCAAACGACGCTCAGGCTTCTGGCGGAGAAGCAGAGGCTGATTCGCTGCAGACAGCACCCATGCAAGCGGGGGAAAACAAGAATGTTGAGCCAACGTATGCCACACACCTCGACGTCTACACGCCGCAGCTTACGTTCACACAACGGACTCTGGTTTTGATCGCAGCCTTACAAATATCCAAAATCGATGCAGAAACCTGGCTCCTGGAAAAGGACAATGCTGCCGTACGAAATACAAGGACGTTGTGGGGCATGGTAACACAATGCGCTTCTGATTTGGGTTGTCATGAGGTGAACTTGGACGTTGACACCAATTATGGCTTTGACGAGTTCAACATGGTGTGTCTGGCTATTTTACGAAAGAACCTTGCAGCTCACTTCCAGAAAGCAGAGTTCCAGAGGGTGCTAGATGCGATCAAGCCGCTTGACGAACAGGATGAAGATGCGGATCCCCCATTGCAGCATAATGAACCCCCCGCATTACATGAAGCACAAGAAGCAGTAGATGGCATTGAAATCCCGCATCAATTTTTGCAGGAGGAAAGCTACATTGATGGCGGAGATGTTGACGAAGAGAAAAAGAGCGCGCAGGAACCCTCTGGAGAAAACCCCGAGCAGGCGACTCCAGAAGAGTCGGTTGTTGGTATGGAGTGCCTGGTTTGCTGCGAGGAGTACAGAATCACTGACACTGTACATTGCGAAGGCGATGAAATCCACTTCTTTTGCCGTGGATGCTTTCATCGCTACGCCACGGAAACGGTCCAAGCGGGTGACATTGCTGGAATGCCATGCGCAAATGCCAACTGCAGCGCAACCTTTGCCACGCCCACCGTCAGGGCTAATTTGTCACAATGGGATATCTTGCGGATGGAAGACCGGGAGAATGAGCGTAACAAGAGGGTAGCATTGGCGGCCAAAGCGGTTCTCAGATGCCCTTGTGGGGGTGTTGGGATCGTCACGGAAGAGGATGTGGGCGACGGCTGCATCACCTGTCCGGGTTCTGAGTGTGGGTTGCAGTACTGCGCGCTTTGTGGCAACCATTGGCACCCCGATACGACCTGCCCTCCGACGAAAAAGATGCTGCAATGGGTCATCCAGAACACAATGCCTTGTCCGAACTGCCATACTCCAATAGAAAAGAATTCTGGCTGCGACCATATGCACTGTGCTCCACCGGGGGGATGTGGTCACCACTTTAGCTATCGCACAGGGAAGCCAATGTCGAAGCACGGAAGGAACCTGAGGGGGCTCTATCACTGATATCTACATCCAACTTCAAGCAAATCTAATGTAGAAACCGGTACACCGTCTAGCTAGTAGAACATTTTGCTACAGTGTTTTCAATTTGCAGTTTACGGATACCGGTACTGGTACTTGTCTATCAACGTCCCAACAGCTGTGATTTCAGCAGCTCGATTGCCATTTGCGCGTCGCGGGCTGTTATCCCTGACCTACTGCCTGTTTTGACGACGTGCCTTTCAAACACAGGACGGTACTGTTTGTTTTCTCTTCCTTCCAACAGCTCTTCATCATCCAAAGCCACCCATGCCACAGCTGGATTGCTCTTTTGATTCTTCTCGTCGTTTAAATATCTGTAGATTTCATGTTGACGGACGGAATGGAACGTTGGATCCGTCATGTCCGAAAAGCTCTGGATGTTTGCTAAAGGCCCTCCGTGTACCTTTCCGTAGCAGTGAAAACTGTCGATTATTTGGCCAATGAGGTGGCTTTGTGCCCTCCATGTCGAGCTTAAAATTAGTTCCACACCATTATTATCATCATCAAAGGCACTCAGAATCGTCGACAAAGCAGCCAAGCAATAATCAGGAAACAACGCCCCGCAGGTTGACTCAGTGGTGTCGGGGAAAGGCAGGAGAACACCATCAATATCTAGAAAGACAAGTATTCTTTGACTACAACTTGTCATGGCAGCTGAGGGTTTGCTTGATTGCAAGAAAAATTAAATGGATGGTGGCCATGTACAAATAATGTAATTAATGCTGAAAATTGACTGGGAAACATCACTGGGCTAGTTTAGAAACATGTTCTCTGCAGTTTTCAAAAAGCCTGATGAGCTCTCAGACAGCCTTGACGATGGCAACATGGCACTGTGGCCGTTGTTCAAGATAACCCTTTTGGTTCTTTTGTTGTTGGCTGCAGAGAACGATGGTTCTGGAACGGCTGATTGGGTTCCTTTGGTGAATGGCAGCCAGTACCTCCACGGAGAGAAACCTCACGATCTATTTGGTTGGTCCATTGCTCTTTCTTCGGACGCTTCGACTGTTGCCATTGGAGCTATCGATAGTGACAACAATGGGTCGGCATCGGGCCAAGTTCGTGTCTACCAGCTTTCTGACAACGGGCCGCATGGCTCCATAATCCATGTGGGGACTATCGAAGGCGACAGGGAAGGTGACTATTCTGGCTACAGCGTTAGCCTGGACCACCGCGGAAACATCCTTGCCATTGGAGCCCCAGAACACCAGCAGGGCATCGGCAAGGTCTCCATTTTCCGTAGAGTCGGGAAAGAGTGGGTTCAAATGGGGAATTGCATTGAGCCAACTTCTGCCGGTGCTGCTGGTTTCGGGCATACACTAGTCCTATCACAAGATGGGTACACCATTGTAGTAGGAGCGCCTTACCAGGATGGAAATAGAGGGTCTGTTTGGACATTCACCTACAATTCAACGTTAGACAAGTGGGAAAGCGATGGTGAACCACTGCTTGGAGATGAATCTGCTAGCTCTCAATTTGGATATTCCGTTGCCATCTCGGCAAACGCCAACGTTCTAGCAGTCGGCGCCAAGAATCATCCCGGCCCACAGTCATCCTCAATGGATGGGCAACAAGCCTCACGTTTGAAACACAGCAAGGGTCAAGTACAAGTTTTTCTCCGAGACGAAAACGGCAACTGGGTGCTCCATGCCCCACCCTTGTATGGAGCCAAGCAAGGTGACTACTTTGGCTTTGCCCTCGCTTTTTCACACCCAGGAAATCGTCTGGCTATTGGATCTCCTTATACTGACACCAGTGCAGGAAGAGGTGCAGGCATTGTGAAGGTTATCCAGCTTGTGCCACAAGCTGAGGAGAACGAAAATGGCGATCAGGACAACAATCATTGCTCTGCAACCAGGCTCACGTTGGTACCAGTTGGACTTGAAATTGCTGGGGCCAGGGCAGGGGACTACTTTGGGTACTCAGTCTCTCTCGCGGCAACTGGTCGTCGTCTTGCAGTTGGGGCTCGTCAAGCCGGTGAGTTGAGGGGGCAGGTTACCGTCTATGATCTGGAGGAGGACAAGGTCCAGCCGACGAGCGAACAAACCCACACGGCGGCATGGCGTGAATGTGCCACTCCAATCAACGGAGATGCGGCATCAGATCAATCTGGCTTCGCTGTGGCGCTCTCTGCCGAGGGGACACATCTGGCTATTGGAGCCCCGTATCACGATGGCGTCCCCAAGAAGACGGAGCAATCGTTGGCTACAGGGAGGACTTTCAATAGGCTTATCAACTCGGGACAGACGAAGATCTTCCACTTCGCAGAGAAGCCGGGTCCAAGAGAGAAAACTGCTGCTTGATTACGGTACCCTGGCGGGCGTTCTCACAACAATATGGTAGCAATCTGACGTTTCAATCGATGTTTCTAAAGGGTGTTCGTGGGCAGGCAGCCGTACGTAATATATGGAGAGCATGGAGAACAGGGCGGTGATGGATTCTGCATGATGAGGGTGGTCCTCAGTTACTACTTAAACATATCAAAACTAATTTCAGTCTTACAAGAGGTATAGATATTGAGATGTGCTGTCTGTCCCAACCCGTGCAGTGACATGTGTCATGAGGCCCCTCACCACAAGAGTTGTCCTTCGCCATCAAATCAACCAGCCAACCATGACTAGCTTTTCTTCATGTAAACAATATATTCCATCAAGTTGCCTCAGGCTCGTTTTGTTTGTGTGGTGTAAAGTGGATACACTGCTTCCTCTAGCTAGCGGCAAACACTTGTGCATTCGTAAGTGCTGCGTCTTCCTCGCTGAAGGCTGGCGAAGGATACAAGCAAAGCAAATCACTGTCGTTGGCATACGTGTGTTCGGCATCGTCAATGTTTTCTCGGTAGATGCATTGATTCTCCTTGTCGTAGTCATCCGTCTCGCCCTCAGACATCCAAGAAGAGGCGTTGTTCAAGCGCAGCCGGTCCCCGAAATCAGCCGAGATCTCTGAGTCGAACAGGGCCACATCGGGGCATCCGTAATTCCTTATTCGCTGTGTGGGAGGAGCTTGGGTTGTCGGTTGCATAGCCCTGCTTGGTTCCGGCTGGTTTATTATTGCTTGGCGATCATTCTCTTGATTTGCTTCCGTGTTTCGAGCAATGTCGAATGTATCACGGTCGGATCCGTTTTCTCGTGTTGTGTTAGATGCCGCCATCTTGCTGTTCTTGGTTTGTGTGTTCGTTTTTGCAGGCATGTTCTTCGACGATTGCCTTGTTTTGTCTTGACTTGACAACTTTTGTGAAAGACACCAGCTATTCTCTCTGGGCTACCGTATTCCGCCGAAGCTTGGATCTTTCCCGAGTTGAGTTATTTTGTGATCGGTCAGCGCCCCAACAGGAATCGTGGAACCAACGCATACAGCACTGTGACCGTTCGCTTTGCCTGAATTTTGGGCCAATTTGTGATACCGCGCAGCTATTGCTTCGTTGTTAGCTGTGAGTCTGCGGTTTAGCATAAAAGAGATGTATTTCAACGTCCAACTGTATAAATCGAAACACGCTATTGCTGCGCTTAGCACCTCTTGGTGCTCGAAGCGCACCTCGAACAGACCCACGAGTTAGCCGAGAGCGCACGATGTTCGTTCTCACACCAGCTGCTTTGCTGCAATATCTCCGCGAAAGCTCCGAGGGGCACGGAGCAAGTTGACCGATAGATACTGTAGACAGTCTTGATTGCTCATAGCTAGCTAGTGGGCCCGCAAGGTATCTTACGCTTGCGTAGCCTTGACGTGTTGTAGCTTTGCGAGGATCCTTTGCTGCTCCAAGACGGTTGCACTCAACAAAGCCTTGAGGCCTCTTCTACATGGGCCTCGCGAGGTTCAAGATCTGATACCGGTAGTCTAGCTAGATTCAACGATATCTTATGCAAGGATGAATGGGTGTTTAGAGTAGGGAAGTTACGATGATATCTTATTGCGTGGTCGGTTATTGCAGTACTCAATGAAAGACCTAGACTGTTACAGCGGACAATACCTTTATCGTCCTTTTCTAGCTAACTCTTTGCAGCGCTTTCCTTGTGTACACTAGCTCTTGCCTTTGCCTTCAGCCTCCTCTTGCGCCTTGGCGAAAGGGACCAAGCATGGATACTGCGAGCTTCAGTCACTGTATCGTCAACTGAGTTGTCCTCCAATACGGAGACATCATCCATTTTCTTTGGCTTCACAACAACGGCTTCAGGAACTCCTCTTGGCTGCACGTACGATAACTCCTCGCAAATGTCGTTTGCCTCGTCGTCAAAGTCAAAATATTCATCCGGGATCTCAACCGTGTGCACCTCTTGTCTGAGCTTCACTTCATCGTACAATGCAATTCCTGCATTCGGCTCATCCAACCTCTTAGATGAGAAATTGATAGCCTTTGCGATTCTTGTTGGTTTCAAGCTCTCTTGTTCAGTGTCAGCATTGCCCCAGTCTCCAATATTGTCGTCAATATCCTGGACACTGTGCAGCGGAATTTCGTATTCAAGAGTACCGGTTATGTCCGTCTTGGTACTAGTTGTGGCACAGATGTTTACGATAGCGCAGGTCAAAAATTCGAATAATGTGATCCAGAACCCAGGCAGTGGAGGAAGAGGATCAGCAGGCTCGGCATCATCTCCGGCAGTTTCATGTAGTATCATCATATTCTGATCAGATACTCGTTCCTGTTCTGAAGACATCTGCTTTCCTCCAACGTTTGTGTACTGATCCGAAGTCGTATTTTCTTCCTCTTCAAAGCTCGAAACGCTACTGTTTGTTAGGTTGTCCTCCTTTTCGTCGTCACCGTCATCGTCATCCACATCAGTCTGCAGTTCATCCTTATTAATCTGCGCCTTCTCTTCTCCAAAAGACGGACGTTTGGTGTCCAAAGACAAGTTGTGCCCAAGTTCATGGCTGCTGGCATCATTGTCCGAAAAGCTCAGACCCAATTGCTTTTCGATCTCTTCTCGTTTCTTGTACTCAAGAAGGCATTGACGCGCTGCTTCGGCAAGCTTCGAGTCTAATTCGGTGTCATCTTCTTCCATGCTGGTATATTTGTCATAGTTGGAGTTTGCAATTTTGATGTCTCCATACTTCATGTCAGCCTGGCTGTCGAATAGAGAGCTTCCAGAATAGTCACAGATACTCTTCTTCCTTTTGATATTATCGCCTACGGGTGGATCTCGGTTGGGTCTCATGTTGCTTGCCTTGGATTCGATTCGAATTTAAAGTGTGTGCGCATGGAAGAGGTCCCTCCTAAGATGTGATGTGAGGTTGGCCGCTGTTCCGTTCCGCATCCGATGCAATCGGTATGCCAAAGCTCAACGGGTACAAAAAATGCGCCTTCCAGCTGTGACACCTGTATTTGTTATGCTGTCTTGCTCTGTTCGGGAAACTCTTAGAGTGCCAAACGGATTCTACAACGAAGAACGCACCTTCCGAACGCAGACAACCAAGAGGTTGGACGCTAAATTGTGAGAGAAATTTGGAGAGATTCTTTCAACGGTAAGCGCAACTGGGACTCGATGCCGTTTCATTCCCACAAAGTGGGGAGTGCGGGAATCGAATCGAATCGAATGATTGAATCGAATCAATTCAACCGAAAATAGTTCGATTCGATTCAATCATTCGATTCTGATTCGTGATTCGATTGAATCACCTGGTCGTGGAACCGTTATGGTCATCAACAGCGCCGCCGCTCCGAGGCAACAGCAAGCAATCAGACAACAACACCAACGTACCGGCCGAAACCAAGCCTCCGCTATCAGCAATACCGGCACCATTCCTACTCTTGAGAGGCCCAGGAAGTGCGTTGTTGGTTTTTGTTTGGTTATAGAGCATGAAATCAGTGCTCATCAGTGCCTCAGTCTCGTCTCGTCACCTGTCGTTTTCCATCTGGCAGAATCTGTCATCCCAATTTGGAGGCGGAAAAATGGAATGTCACCATGATGAGCTCACTTTTTTGTTCAACCGGATTGCTAGAGTTGCATACCCAACCGAACAAGGAAGATTTGCGATTGTTGATAAGCCTAGGCCAGATCAACCCCCCTACTTTCAATTACCTTTTCTACCAATCTTCTATTCAATACCTATCAATTGCAAAATGAAGTTCTCTTCTTCTATCATCAAGCTGCTCTCGTGGTCCTGGACCACCGACAACAACAACAGCAACACCAAGAAGACCCCCGTTCTCCAGGTCGCCAAGGAGACGACGGGCAACAACAACAACAAGGATGTTCCTGCAGCAGAGGAAGTCCCAACGTTCCAACTGGACGAGTTGGACAAGTCGGTCGTTGAGACCGCGGCACAGTTGCATGGAACGCATCCTGATGTGGAGTTCCAGCAGCACGGTCGCTACCTAGGTGCCTACGACCTTTCCCTGGTTCCTGCGGATCAACATGGTCACTACGGATACGACAAATACAACCAGCACCGGCCCAAAGGCTGTCGCATCCAACCCAGTCAATCCGCCAACGCTCGCTGGAAGACCCATTACGGTCAAGACACCGAACGGAGCAATGGAAACCGTTTATCCTTTGCTCCCGTCAACACTGTTGTGGGGTACTCTTCTGATGAGAGTGAACAAGAGGATAACAGCCGTGTCTATCGAGACATGAAGAAACATGTGCCACAGGCCCGACACGAATTCTGGCTCGAAGCCCAACAACAATTCATTTCCGTCGGCACACCCACACCCCACGAACGCGTCTTGGATCTCGTGCAGTTGATTCAAGAGTACGGATACCAACAAGTGGCCAAATGGATCACCAACAACAAATGGTCCCAAAGCGACAAAGCGTACCTCAAACAAGCCAAACTGTACATTCAAATTGATGCCGTGCATCAAGACCTCGAGGCACTTGTTCGTTTCATCAAGGCGAAGAAAGGAAATGACAAGCAAGTCGCCCACTGGTTCATGGTCAACGAAAAGAACACTTACACGTTCGAACTCGCCATGTGCCACTTGCACCACGGTGGTATTCAGCGCAACGCTGATGACAAAATTTGCACCTTGAATACGCGAGAACAGATTGCTAAACGACGATTTGTCTATCGCAAGGTCAAGGATGTCTGCATGGAAGATGCAGCACCCATAGTAGTAGAAGAACATCCAACAACAACTAAAGACATTGAGACAATAGAAACAGTCTCGACCGTAGACGACGACGACAAGATGGCATCCGATGCCACAATCACATGCGAAGCAGCGGTGGTTCCCACATGCACAGCAGTGGTCCCATACGTTCAAAAGTGGCATGTGGCACACTTCAAGATCAGTGTGCATGGACAACAACCATTTGTATTGGAGATGCGAATGATGAATGGTGTGCTACTTGGAGTGGTGCCCAACGACATTCTCACAACTTTGATGAAGGATGGTGGAGACCTTGTCAAGGAATTGATGCGGCAGCACAACACACTACGATTGGAGGCAGGCGCTGCCTCGGACGAATTGGAGTACGAATTCGTGACTGGCCAAGTGGTAGCTGAAGAACCACAGGACGAGGTTGAGGAACAACAACGAGTTGATGCTGAAGAACCACTGGTCGACAACCGAGTCAACGAGGAGGACAACGTGGGCACAGCACAATCAACACTTCGGCGGTCAAAGAGACGCATGGCGGCGATTGCATCGCAGAGAATTGCAGAACAAATCAAGACAAAGCCCCGGCGATTGGCAAACCAACCTAGAATAAATCGTAGATGCGCGGCGGCCAGGAAGTCAACAAAGCCAAATACGAAGGGCAAGAAAAATTCGACAAAGCCAAAGGCGAAGTGCAAGACGACGACGACGACACGACCTGTGACGGACACACAGCAGCAAACAACAGTTCAGACAACAACAAGTCGTTCTGGACGGCGAGTACGAAAGCCTGACTGGTACATTCCAGTCTAGGACAACAGGTAAGTGGGGCGGCCACCACGGATTGCGGGGACTACTAACACATTAATACAATACACAATGAGCAAGCATCTGGTGGGGTGCAGGGCTATACAACATTTTGCGAAGATGAATACAGTTGGTTCAATTGAAGGGTCACATCGAAGGTAGCCAGGTTTGTGGTTCCTGTGCTAGGCGGCCTCTATTGCAGAGTGCTTGTCTGAACGTCCTCCACGCGACGAAAGTCCAAAGTTAATACCCGTGACACCCGACAACCAACCTCTATCATTGTTGATGCTATGCTACAATCTTAAATACAACCAAACATAGAAAATAACACATAGTAGACAATTTTTAAAACAAAAATCATGGCTTCGTTCTTTATAGTAGTTGTAGTCGTACCCTAGCTAGCTCTTGGTAGTTCATATTCATAGAACCGGTAGCACTTGCTGACCATGTGCACGAAGAGGTTACTATGGGCTGTGGGCTGTGGGGATTCATCGAGAGATGTGGAATTGGACTGGGCGACACCTCTCCTTTGTGTTTGTGGTTTTGGGAGTGCTAATAAGCAAACTTCCCAAAGGTTGGGCTCGGGGCCTGATTGGTCAGAGCAAACATGCGTTCCTTGAGGGGTGTACCGTGGAACGCTCAGATCTATAATATACCAGTGACTGCTCCAGCGACCACCGAGAGTCAGCCTCCCTCCACAGTGCTGATCTGTATGTCTGGGGTGTCCGCTCTTGGGTACCGAACCCAAAGACACTACGGTAGCAAATCATCAAATAATTGGTCATACAGATGCAGTCCGAGACCAACCCGCGTCAGGACGAGACGTTCCAGATCTACGGTAACGAAAGAAAATGTTGTCGATGAGCAATGATCAAAAGAGGTACATGTATTTTGCCAAGCTGCTTTGGAAGTTCTAAAATAGAAATCGTGGTACAGATACCGGTATCAACTAGCATGATGGATTGCTGGGTAGGGGATGTCGGCATTTTGTGGACCTCGCCATCAGTATTATTTCCAGAGAATCTCGTACGCCAGATCGTGATCAATGGCTTTGGAGTATCGTCGAAGCTGTGCTCGTAATTGTTCGTGTGCCTTTGCGACCTCATCTGCGTCTAGCCTGGAGAGTAGGTGATCCCATGTTGGCAGAGTTTCGTTTGGAGCCGTCATGCCTTCTACCTGTCCCAATCGATCCAATCGCACAGTGGCATAGAGTTTATCTTGTTTGCGTAGGAATTCGTGCAGCCTCACGAAGAGTCGGACAAACGGATCGTTGAGAAAACGATCAAAGTTTTGGGTTGGCATAAAGTCTAGCAAGTGAATGAGATGGTAGTTCAAATGCATCCAGAATTCTTCACCGACCAATGTCAGTTTGGTCCCATGGAATGCCGAGAATTCCACTCCTTCCACTCGATCGACGACGTCGTCTTCATCCCACAAGACACCCAAAACTTCGTCCATGAATAACAATCGCAACATGGCAGGGAATGCCTGTACGTGCAAATATTCGTGGTCTGTCAGGAGACTTTTCAAATCCGGAATTTTGTCAAACTCCAATGGAAATAGATTGGTATTGACGCCGCAAATGGAATGCAAAAAGAGCACATGCGGGGATCCCTGTGGAAAATAGCGTGTCGTGTATTCGGCGCAAAAATCGAGATGATCAATGAATCCTCCATCGGCATGTTCGTTTTTGAATTCGCATTCTCGTGTCATATAGTCCATAATGGGGGATGGAACATGATATTGTTGGGGTGGCAGCGTCCGAGCCGTCTCGCAAGCAGCTTCAATGACGGAATCGGCCCATAGTGGTCGTTTCCCAAATCTTTCTTGGAGGCGAGCTGTGATGGCAGGATTTGTGACTGTATAAAAAATTGTGGTGTTCCAGTCCAACTCATGGTTGGGAATCTCATGGACGTAGCCACGAAAGTCCATGGGCCCTGCATGGACTAGAGTATCAAAGCGACGAAGATCGAGGGAAGAACCGAGCATCGAAAGAGCCGAATCGTCGGGACTCGTAGTCTCTTTGGTGTGCGTCAAGGTTTCCATCGTTTTGGAGGACAGGAAGCGGCCGCTCCTAGAGGTCTGGCGAACTTTGAGCCAGTGCCCTACTCTGCTAGGAAGCGATCTATTCAGTGCTGGTAGCATCATGGTGCATTATTCTGTAGAAAATGGACAAAGAGGTTTGTGAAAAAGGGGTGGCGTGATGGCTGCTGCTTGTCAGGCAAAGAAAGATTTGAGAACCCCACCAAAAGATCTCCCACTGATGACGTCACTCAGATCTTCGAAGAAAGCATATGGAAGATAACAAAGGGCAACAAAGTTCCTTCTTCTCTCCTATCCATGTCGCTGCTGATCTAGCTAGCTAGAGAGACAAACACACAAATCACGCAGGCTTCACGCTTTCACAATTCTCGAAGTGTGTATTTTGATACCATGTATTATCCGAAACACCCACTATCGTTGATTATCTGTTGTTGCTACATTCTGACCATGATGTCATCACCAGCGCTTTCCTTGACACCACCACCACCAGGGTCGACCAAACAAGGCCATCAAATTGTTCTATCGGAGGCGACCATGGATCAGAACTATGACAAATTGGTAGAGCGGTTACGTAAAAAAGCAGAAGAACTCAAGGATACACCCGACGGAACACAGTATTGGGTTGGTATTGCCGGTGGTCCAGGGTCAGGTGAGATCTGTGATATTATTGGTGGCAACGATAAGAATGGTCAACCAGACAATCATCTCGTCTCACCTGTCCGCATACTCTTATTTCATACCACTCACACATCATTGCAATTCCAAAGGGAAGACGACAACATCCAATAAGGTGGCAGAACGACTCAACAAATCCTTTGGAAGTGATAGTGACGACTTTTGCGTAGTGCTTCCAATGGATGGATTCCACTACTCGCAGTCAGAGCTACAAGAATTGGACCCTCCGGATGGAGTATACTACATGAAGCGTCGAGGAGCTCCTTGGACCATGAATGCGGAACTATGTTACGACCTTCTCAGTAAAGCCAAACAGGCAGGATGCGGGGAACTACCAAGCTATTGTCGTGAAATATCGGATCCTATTCCTGGTGGAGTTACCTTGTCCACCAAACACAAAATCGTCTTTGTAGAAGGGCTCTACCTACTCTGGGGAGACGATGAACGGTGGGCACCGCTGCAAAAACTCTGGGATGAACAATGGTTCATCAAATGCCCCAGCAGGGATGATCAACGAGAGCGTCTCGTAAAGCGCAGTCTGGAAAATTGGAGTGAGACCAAGGTCAAAAACTGGGGACCTGGAAGAGCTGGCGCAGAAGCCAAAGTTGACGCCAATGACGCGCCCAACATGGACATTGTAGCACCGTCGGAAAAGTATGCCAATGTCATTGTGGAAAGCGTTTGAACATAGCTACACAAACCAAAAAGCGAAAATAGAAAACCCAGCTCTAGAGGATCTCTGCCAGTGCAAGACATGGACTGGCTGGCATTCAAGTTCAGCGAGCCGAGCCTCTGAATGAAGTGGGGTACCGGTAGACTATTAATACCGTACAAGGAAAAAGCCAACCGTCTGCTCAATACCGTGATACGCTTTTGCTTTGTTCTGAGGTTGTGTAGTACCGGTACCATAGCTTCCCGGCACATAGAACAGTACGCACTTTAGCTTCATGTAACGATATTGTGTCACTATAGCGTCACGTTGTTCAGGTTGCTGGGGGCTTAGAATTTGTCTGCTGCTGGAATGACCATCTGAAGATTCTGAAATGGCTGCGAGGGCAAGGTTGGCTGTCCACGGGACAATGTCACAATGTCATGTGGCCCCAGGGATCTGCATCGGGAAGTTTGGAGCAACCTACTTTAAAATAGAGGTTTCCAAACTAGTAGAGTAATCCTGAATAATCTACCAGTGGATAAATACAGTACAATCTATTGATCTGATCAAAGTTCTTCAATCGGCTTACCCTTCCCATGACAATCATACTCAGAGGAACTACGGCCAACAATGTTCTCGTATATGACAACGGGCAAAGCATGGTCAAAACACCACCGCAACCTAGAGTAAACTTCCATGATCTCCTTTTCCGCTACCGACATCTTTGCACCCGGCGTCTTGCGAAGGATTTCCATCCGCCTCGCATAGTTTCCAGTGATATAGTGCGGATTGACCAGCAGCAATTCTGCCGAATCGACTTTGCGGATGGCTGTGTGAAGGGCCCACCAAGCATCCAGCGCGGTGCTTTCTTCAATGTCCCTTTCAAACTTCCACGCTTTGACTTTGCCCTCGGTCGCATCGTCTCCACCAAAGACGGTGGCCTTGTTAGGATACTGAACATACATGGTTCTCTCTTGCCCCGAGTCCTTGATGGAACCCAAGGCAGTGCGTGCCACGCTTTGGAAGGGCTCACCTTCGCGATGCCAGGACTTGGGGTTGTGAGGAAAGTTAGTTTCTCGGTAGTCGATGCCCATTTCCTCGACGGTTTCAAAATCTAGAATCGTCCAAAGGTAGTGAACACCGTGGTCTGCATGAATCTTGGGCATCACAAAAATGCGCCCAGTTCGACGTGCCAGTGCCAACAGTGTGGCCATAGTGTATTTCACCGACCCAACATCATGAAAAAGTCCCGATTCCCAACCGGCCCACTCCCAGTTTTGAACCGTGTTGTATGTATTTGGCATGTGACCATCCATCCAAAGATAGCGACGACGTTCCCCCGTGCGACGGTAGTAACCGCCATCGCCATTGGGTCCATCGAATCCATACCAAGCACCCAACTCCTTGGCCATTATCTTCTTGCCATGTGGCTTCTTCAGAGGACCGCCGGCTAAGGTATGAATAGCGTACGTTTGCTGTGTTGGTACGGGACGCTCATTTGCCACTATCTCTTGGGCGCTGTAAAAACCGGCGCGGACGGGGTAATTCATTGGGGGCGGGTTAGTTTCGGGAGGTGGGAACCAGCGGCCCTCAAATTTCATTGGTTTTTGTCCTGCGCGGTACTGATCCGCCAAATGCTGCAGCTGGCCCATAATCCACTGGTCATGCGTCCCTGGAGACTCTTTGGCCATGAGAATGTTCAATTCAAAGTATTCCTTGGTGTTTTCATTTGCTGTGACACTGTACACCCCAATGTTCATACACATGGGGCAATTCTGGTGCGAAGATACCAAAAAGTCGTGCTCGGGATCTTTGTGGTATTCCTTGATCACCGCTTTGGGCGACTTGACAAACCAAACGTCCATTTCGTAGAAGAAGAAGTCATATTCGAGCTTGACCAGCTCCAAGGACACCTCAAACTTTGTGTTGGCGACAGCATGCTTGAGCTCCTCGGACGACTCTGGCTTGACACTTGGCCATGCAACAACAGGGTATCCATAACGACAGCAAAGTTCCAAAGTTTCTTGATCCAACACCACCATGAAGAATGCATTTTCAAACCCCACAACGTTATCGTTCATCTCAAAGATATCATGTATCATGTCAAAAGCATAATTGTAGTCTGAAATGGTAAAGGCGACCATGTTGGTCACTTCTTCTCGCTTCAGCCTTGACTCCAACAGCTGACGTACTTGTTCCTGCCAGGTGCTGGATTTGGCATTCTCCATGCATTTTTCCTTTTCCGTCAGTGGGACTTCTGTTGGATAAATGTACTCAATCTTTCGGGGCGGCGGCAGATCCAGTGAGTTGTTGACGTGGAGACTGGGCTTCCAATCTTCAGGGATCTCTCCCAGTGGCTTGAACTTGAACAGATTCTTGTTTTTGACTTTGCGTCCAAGCGGGAAGGGATAGTCTTTGTACTTGTTTTCGAGCTGTTTGAGGCTGGCGCACATGTTGTCCCAGGCAGAACAATCCACGGCTTGCCGCCAATCCGGGTACAGACGTTGATCCGCTGGGACTGCCGGAGAAAATTGCAATCGTTCCATAGCCTGGTTTTGAGGTTCCACGGCCTTGATTTCTGACTTGACAGGTAGCGAGGACATTGTGTACGCAATCCCCGTATCCTTGGTAAACAGTTCAAGCGCATTATTGATGGCTTGGTCCATGTTGAAGTACTTGTAGTTGGCCAATCGCCCGACAAAGCTAACGTTTTTGGTTTTTTCTTCCTTCTTGGCCAGGTTCTGGTACTGTTTGAACAGATCCTTGTTGCGTTTATTGGGGACTGGATAGTACGGCTCTCCTCCATCTTTCGATCGTTCAATGAAGTACACCGTATGCGGCAAATGCGATTGGTTGTACAAATGCTTGTACTCTACAATCCGAGTGTAATCGTCGTTGTCTTGCGGATGATTGACCACAAAGGCTTGTTGGAAGAATTGGGTGTTTTCCTCGACCTTCCGTTCGAATTCCAAAGACCGATACTCCAGTTTGGGCAACTTTTGCTCGGCAAAGTAGGCATCAATGGGCCCGCTAAAGTAGTGTTTTCCACAGGAAACTTTGTCTCGTATTTGGAAATAGTCCGTGTTGGTAAGGACAGTGATGTGTTGTGATTTGAACATGTTTTCGAACAGCGAGGTATACCCGTTGGTTGGCAGTGCCTGATGAGGGTCGGAAAAGTACCGTTCATCCCAGTTGTTTCTGACAGGGATTCTCTGCAGGACTTCTGGTCCCAATTCCACGGGATACTTGTTCCATTGCTTGAATGTGTATGGTTTGAAGATGAGTTCATACAATCGCTTGCCCACCCTTGAGAGCGCCACTTCCTCCGAGTTTTGTGGATTGTCGTTGGGTATTTGTTCTTTCTTGAGCCATTCGTCCATTTCTTCTTGCGATTGGATGTTGAGGTCAAAGAGGATATTGACAGTTTCGATATTGACAGGAATTGGCACGTCTTTGCCATTGACAATGCCTCTCACTTTGTGTTCATAGGGTGTCCAAGGACCAAATTTCTGCACATAGTCCCACACGTCATCAAAATAAGTGTGAAACAAATGAGCCCCGTACTGAGACACACGGACTCCAGTATCTTTCTGAAATGATTTGATAAAATGTTACCCAAGGGCGGTAGGTTAGTAGACAAATCATTATCCATTCAATCGAGCAACTCCATTTTTCCTGACTTACATCAATATAATCGAAGCAATTTCCACCAATATGGGCTCTCTTCTCCACTACCAGGACCTTGTGCCCCAACTGAGAGGCATACCGTTCTGCCAACACGGCTCCGGAGAGGCCAGCTCCAGCGATGCAAACGTCGTAGTGCCCCGCGAGAATACCTCCTTCTCCAGGAGAGCTACCACTACCTGTGCTGGATGATAAGCCTACAGATGCCGCCAGTTGGCTAAAAGAGGCCGTGTAGCTCTCGAGAAGAGCACTTCCCACTTGTTGTTGACAGTTGCGATAGAGAAAAAGTTGGCCCAAAAGTAGTATAACAATGACCATGGACATGAAGCAAGTTGGGATGGATCGGCCTCCACCTCCTACACCGCCTTGCGGGGATGATCCATTCTTTTGCTGAGTCTTCACCATGCTCTTGATTCCAATAACTGTTTACCTGTACTTCTTCCACTCTAGCTATTAGTTGACAAGCAAGAGCAGCAAGAAAAGTGAATGGAATTGCCACCCTTTCTGAATCAATCCTTTCAAAAAGAAGGATCGTGGAATTTGGTCATTGCTTGTGTCATTTACAAGATAGATCACCTTGCTCTCGGTTATGGTTACGGTTATCCCTATCGGTATCGTAAGGTTACGGATAGTAACTGAGACTATGCAATACCATACCCCGCTACCAGGTACCAGTACATGTACTGGTACCGGTAGTAGTACCGGTATGGTACTAGTACTGGTACACCAGTAGCAAATGACTTGACCAAACATACTACGCAGTACCAATCCACAAATAATAAATGCATGTGGCTGGATCCTAAACTTTTTTCAATTGACACCATAATAGTATGATACTAGCTAGCTACAACCAGTAATAGCAAGTGGATAAAGAGCGAAGTACCAGGCAGGACGAGTGCAAGCAATAGCTACCTTGCCTTACTTCTACTAGTACTTTATCCGGCCTCTGATGCATGTTAGAGATTAAAAGTCGTCGCTCAATATCTACGATATCATTCACTCGTCTATCACCCGTTTATCCATAAGACTTCTACACAGTACGACTTGTTTCCCGCCAACAAAGAGTTCAGCCACTTTAGCCAAGGAGCTGACTGGGGACCAACGACTGGTTCATGTTACAAAATTTGTTGCCGTCGGAGTGTGGGAGCTGTTGTCGCCGCACTCGTTCAGAGGTAATTCACTCGTGGTAGTCAGATCTTCTAAGTAACCGTATCACTTGTCACCTCCGCTTTTAGTCTGATACCACCAAATTCTGTCACATAGATTGGTGTGACTCGATTTCACTCCCATCAACCGCTCGATGGCTCTTTGAAACTCGCACCTCTTTCTGGTTTCTGATGAGTTCCGTCAGATAAAACACACGGAAGATGTGAGTACATGAAAGAGTGCATTGGACGGAGAGTCCCAACGTCCCATTACGTAAGTTGCCTGTGAGTATTTTGGCCATCAGATCCAGTCTCATCATTTCATCAGTCTCACAAATCCAAAAAATCACAGCGAAACAACTCCGACGATCACTACTTTGCTTCCACGCTCACAAACAAAATCTTAGAAGAAATGACATCCACCGCCATGCTCATTACATTCTCAGAAGGACCTTTCCATCACCAAGGCCAACACTACAGCCCTGAACGATCCGACTCCTTCAGCTCTTCCAACGAATCCTTGCCAACAATGGATCCAGTGACCACCTACTACCCAGAAGACATGAGCAAGGACCTACAATTGGAGGTTTCTGGAAGCTGTTTTGTATTAAAATCTTGCGTCTTTCATAAGCTGGCTGCGCTTCCTTGGCAGAAGATCCATGCAGCTGCTTATCGCCTCGAGGGTGTCTCGCCCGAGGCTTTTGAGTTGTGCTTGGACTACATTCTCTTTGCGACCCTGCCAAAGCGAAAGCGCATGAACTCTAATACAAAGGAAGAACTCAAGACATTGGCAAATAACTTGAAGCTGACTGGATTAGCAGACCACATGGCTTCCAAGCGTGGTTCTCCCAAGGCTGCCAGCATGAAGAAGAAGCAACAAAAAACGGGCCCGCCATCCACCCGTAAGCAAGGTCGCTTTTCCTTCATTTTTGGCTGCAAGCGACGAACGGGGGCAGCCGATGACGTGGAGCAATCTCAACGAGCACCGGTACCGGTACAAAAGAAGCAGGAGCAGCAGCCAGAGCATGCCTACGCTTCCGATCCTTTTGCCCCATTCTGAGGTGCATGCAACACAGGCACGGTGACTCTCTGTAGGCTGAAAATACAAACGGGGAACACAAGACCTTAGAATACATTATTATATAAACGATCTAGTTCTATGTCAACTCAAAACTACACAAACAGACCTTGCTGAAAACGCACCAGCTATTCATAGAAGCAGTAGTCATCCAGCCAGCTGTCTAAGCGATTTCTTTCTGCAAGAACCCGTATCTGTACATCATTAGTGCGACCATGGCAGTTCCTGCTAAGCTTATGCACCAAAATGAGAAAACGCCCCAACCGCCCTGATTGAGGAGAGGAAGTGCCGGCAACTCAGTTTCAGGGTCGATAAAGTTCATCCCCTGTGCAAGGATAAACAAAGATATTTTAGACAAGCAAGATGCATTCATTGCTCTCGAGGCAAGACCGTCGGTGCGTACGTAATATCCGGTGAAGAATTGTCCTGAGTGGAGAAATGCAAACAAGGTTAGTCAGCAAGAACGTCGTTGGCCTTTTCACCACCAGTCTCTCTTTTTGTTTCGCTTGATACTGTACCTGGGACGATCAACGTTGTAACTAGCGTCAAGATGTAGAGAATGTCATTGGTGCGACGGTCCGAGTAGGCGTTGTACTCATCCTTGAGAGTTACGCATTCGTCTGCAAAGGAAGACAGTTGCTCGAGCGTCCTCATGAGATTGTCCTCAATATCTTCCAGGTAATGCGTCACTTCAATTCCAATGTTACGGTCGTCGATCAAATGTCGGATAACGCGAGCAAACGGGCGGATCTCGTGTTGCAGCCATTCCAAATCTCGCTTCATGACGATCATCTCCTTTACATCCCGTTTGCTCAGCTTCTCTTGCAGCTCAAACAAACGGTTGGACATGCGCTGTAACTGGGCTTCGTAGATCTTGGAGATCGGGACAAGGTTGTCAACTACAGCGTCCAAGATTGCGTGCATGAGCCAATTGCTGTTGCGATGCCTTTGAATGCTGTGCCTCTTCTTGAGCAAGTTCTTAACGCGCTCGAGCGACAACTTTTCGTCTTGAAGCATATCCGCAATCCAAGGATCGTCGCTGCCACCACTATCACCACTGCTATCGCTGTTGCTACTGTTTGGGTCAATGCTTCCGTACTGGTAGGGAGGAACCGAAGTTGCTGTGTTGGTATTCTTATAAGAGAAAAAGTGCCTCCGTGATGCATTTCTGTCCCCGTTGTTATTAAATCGGACGGGCTTGATACGGGTGGGTCTCCATTTAGTAGAGCAAGTGACGACCAGATTGGCATCAGGGAGGGAGGCAACAAACATCCCCAGCGTTGCCTCGTTCACTTCGATAGTGAGTGGTTGAACCTGCATCACAGGAAGGAGTTCTGATGCTTCATTGTACAGGTCCAAGGAAGTCTTGGATCTCCGACTCAGCTCGAACATGGGAACCGTGATGAAATAATGCCTGCCCTCGTTGACATTTATATCATCCTCTCCTTCGGCAATGATAAAGTCTGGAACATTGGAAATCCTTCCCTGGATAGCCGCTTCTCTTTGATAGCTATGAAAGCTGTGTGTACTGCTAGCTCGCACAGCTTTTGCCGGTTTGGGTATGCTTCGCAGACTTCCCATGGAATTGTAATTAGTATTGGTTGGAGTAGCCAATGTCGCTCCTTGTTTTCGACTCATCTCAGCGTCCAAAGCCCAATCCCCAAGCTTTTGAAAACTGGGAGCATCAACATCAGGGGCCTCGTAGCCATCGCCCGCGTGGCGAAGCCACGAGAGAGTCCCGCAGTTGAACTTGCCAAGATCGAGCAAAGAGTGCTCAAATGAGTTGACCTTGGGTTCTTGATTTTCCAAGTCGATGGCATCTTCAATCGAAGTTGGATGGAACCGATATTTGACGGCCAGGCGTAACATGGTAATCCGAAAGGATTCTTTTTGAGATCGGCGTGGATTGTCGGCGGTTTGAGTTGTAGCGGGAGCAGCAAAGCCTACAAATGTTCCTGAAGGCACATCTATCCACCGCATGCGTGCTAGACCATGCCGTGGCGCAATAAAGAAATCACGTGTTTGTTTCTCTGACACACTGCCTGACACTTGCTTGTGCCGATGGTAGCCGGGAGCATAGTCGATATATTCAAAGGCATAACCGTTTCCATTGTCATCCGCGTCGTCACTATCAAGTTCTGGAATCATCAGTTGCTGAAGCCATAAATAGCGTATGATTCGGCAAAACTGAGGAAAGGATATTCCGACAGACTGAACTGGGATGCAATTGTTGTACTCTTGTGTTTCTCCGTCGTCATCAATCGTAGTCTCGCTGGCGCTGTATGAAGGGTGGTCATCTTTGCAAATCACTCGATCAAAGAGTTCGTCCAGGGCCCTGATATCTTGCAGAGGCATGATCTCCTCCAAACCTTCTTCACCCTCAGTCTGCTCAGATTGTTGAGACAAAGGCGCAGCCTTCGCAGGTGCTACGTTTTCTCCATTCTTGTTGGTGGTCGATGCCGACGCCAGTGCATGAACCAGCTCTTGCTTCATGATGTATCCGTCTTGGTTCTCGTCAACAGACTGAAAGAGAAGCCAGAGCCGAAAGGGCGACACATCAAAGCGTGCTACTGCCTGTTCGGTATCATCCAAATTCTGAGGAATCTCCAAGGAATTGGCAATGTCGGCCAGCAGATTGGTACCACTCTGTGTGACACTCAAATTTTTTCTTTTCCTTTCGGCATCCTGCTCCAGTTCATTGCTGCTGTCTTGTATGCTTACACTACGATCTATTTGCTTCGTTGGTTCGTCTTTGTGGCCGCCTTTTGCTTCTGTCTCACTGCTCATTGCTTTCTTCCTTGCATTCCTACTAACTAACTACCATCTCAGGTCGGATCTGAGATCTGAGGAGGATCTTGGCTGGAATGATGAATCGATGTGTTCGATATACATGCATCGGTATTCGAACTATTCGATTTGTTGGGTAAAGCCGTTGTGAAACGTCAGTCCCACCAAAAGTTTTCGGGCGTTTTCACGACCACAAGTCCGTTCTTCGCTGCAAATTCGCAAATTCCATCATTCAGCCTCCTCCCTTGAATTTGCGCGGGGGGCAGTGGCCGGTGCACTTGAACGACTTGAACAACTGGAACAACTGACTTGATTGGCAGGGAGCATAAGGAGCAGGCAGCGCACACGCAAAAACAGGCTCCACAGTGGCATTTGTCCCACGTGTTGCCATACAGTTGGTCGTGCAAGCAAGTGCATTGACACCTTGCTTGCTTGGTTGGATGGGTTCGAGCACCCTCTGTACTCGTACCGATAGGGCGCTGATAGCGAATTGCCAGCTAGCTAGTGGAATACATGTAGAGGGCTCCTGATCGATCTAGGTAACTTGCGTCAAGTGCCAGTGGGTCCACGTTGGCTTGCAATGCATGATCCTTGGGCAAGGCATTCAGTTTTAACAACATCGTAACTAATGAAACCATTGTGACCAGGAGATTAAAAGTAGTAGTAGTAACATTACACAGTAAAAATGGTAGCTTTTACAACAACATCAAGTAGCTGGGTTTGGTTGATATTGACAGTTCCAATGAACGAATAATTGTTGTTATGAGTCGGCAAATCGGGTGAGGGAGGCCCCGTGGCTTCGGAGGACGGTCCTTTGGTTAGCAGCAACACGCTGCTGTCTTTGGCGCCGCTTGTTTTGCCTGTGGGTTTCTCTAGCTTTTTCTTGGCGCAGTCTCTTTTGGCGTGCGACTTCTTCCATGGCCGCGAATCGCTGCCATTCTTCGTCCAGGGCAGCCTGATGTTGCCGCTCCGCCTGGATTTCTTCCCAGGTGGCTGGGTGGACGTATTCCCCAGTTTCCATGTCAAAGACCATGCCTTGTTCTTCTGTAACATTCCTCCAGTCCTTGCCGTCGGCATGGTACTCGAAGGAGTTGCGCATGGCGTTCTCTTGAACCTCATCGACACCGGTCCAGATACGCGCAATGGTTTCATTGTCCATATCACGGTGGGAAGGGATTTCCACAACGGACACAGTGTTTTGGAAGCGGACCTTGGGCTCTTCTGATTTGATATCAAAGGAACAGTTATCGTTGTCGAGGGCATACATCTGGGCTTCATCTTCCAGTTCGTATTCCAGTGAGCTCGGTTCGAGAATGGCAACTGAAGAAGGATCTGAGTAGGGAGGACATTCCTTCGGCCGAGCCAACATGGCTTTGGAGGGATGGTTCAGCTTTTGTCGAATGGACCAAGTTCGCACCGAGTCTCGGTCGACGCTTTCTCGCTTGGAGGTTTCATTGGACGGAGACACAAGAGATCCTCCCCCCAACAACGCTGACAACTCCATGATGGTCTTCATGGCTCGCACCGCCTCATTATTGTCAGTTACCTCCTTGTCAGCGCCCAACGGTGCGGCTGCTGGGATGAACATGGTTTTCAACACACCAATCATTTTTGTTTGCGATTGTGAGACTTCAAACGGAAGTGAATCGAATGCGGTTTTGGTTTTTGTATCTGTTGCTCGCTCTTTTATGGGAACCATTCGAGTGATGGATCTTCTTGGAGCCTTGTTGTCCTTTGCAGGGTGACGGGGGAATCACTATGACGGAACTCCAGTTTAAGTCCAGACTCAGCCAACAAGGTTTCAATAGAAGCTTTGTAGCTATGATAGTGTGTCTAATAACATGGGATATAAGCTACACTGTTATTGGGGCTAAAGCCAGTCTATTCTATTCCATAACGTAAGTATGTTGAGACTGTCACCATGATCAAGCAGACAAGCAGATCAAGCAGAGCTACATACCCAGCTACAATGCCGAAAGAATTAAGCCTTGTGCCGTTCCATGTCCACTGGGCTCAGTTGGAACTGTCATTGAGGGGACGTACGAGTACGCAACTAGTTGACTCTAAGCTTGTCTATGCCATTCTTGCTTATCTATGCTTAGCTTGCATTAGCTACTTTTATCTAAGCCAAGCTATTCTTATCTAAGCTAATCTACAGGGTTGAAAAGTACTAAATTGTTTATAGTAAAGCATATCCTTAGCTTAGACTAGCTTAGCTTAGACAAGCTTAGCCTCACTTAGACAATCTTGGCTTAGATAAGCCTAGATAAGCCAATCGGCGACTAGGCTCACGGTTGCCATATGCATAGACGTCTACCGTATGACATACCGGTACTGGTAGCAAGGTAGCTAGCTTCCTTTTCCAATCCATGCACCACCACTTCGCATGGAAAATGTTGTTCGCAGCTGGAGCAGTGACCGGGAAAGGCAATGGCAACAGCAGAGAGGGGAGAGGCAGTAACATCTATAGCACCAACAGATTAGCCAAAAATATGCTTTTACCACATAGAGAAGAATAGTTTTGTTCTAAGCTCTTTGCAGTTAGCCACAACCACAGATTGCCTTGGAGTGGTGTCCTGTCCAGGATTCCTTGAGCTGCTACCCTAGTAATTCCCCCGTCACCCAGGTTACCTGTGACTTCAATCGATCGGCGGAGTAGACGTGCCTACCGGTAACTAAAACGCAAGTACTTTGGACTTTATTGAGGGGTTGGTACTGTACCCGTAGCTCGCTACGGAACACGTATGGGCTCTGGCATACTGGGTCACTCAACTTCGCCAACCTCAAGCTTCAAATGTCCCTTGTCAAACCAAAAGTTGAAGACCCGAAGACCCACACTTGCTCTTCCTTTCAATTATAAAACCCTCATCTCTCTGGAGAGACGTCACGGAAGCTGGGTAATAATAATGCTAATAATCTTACGCGACACAAGACTCAAAAGGACTTGGGAGTCTTGTCGGTTTAGACAATAGAAACAGCTTCCATTTTTCCATTATTCCGCCTTCGGAAAGCTTAATAAGTGGTTCAATCGCGTAAACCTGTACCGGTACCGGTAGGAAGGGGGAAAGTAACGGCACAGGAGAACCAAGAGTTTATTGCCTCTGACGTCGATGGTTGATGGTGAACCTGTAGCGGTACTGTCGACTGACTGTACATGTCGACTTCTTGATCTCTGAGACGGTACTAACTACCTGATACCGTAAGGTGAAAAGAACTTTGAAAGGAGAGTTATTAATGATTAATTTTATTAATAGCAAGTGCCGGAAGCAAAGCGAAGCGAACCAGGAAGGCTCCGTCATACCGTGATGCAACTGTGAGTCCCGGCTTGGTCCCGCCATGGTAAAAGTCGCGTCAGGTCGCTAAACGTCGTTTCTAAAGTCGTATTTTAGAGCACGCGACTTTAAAGCGACTTTAGAAACGATCTTTGGCGATCTGACGCGACTTTATCGCCTTATTTCTAGTATTATTACGCGAATTTTAAAGTCGTGCAAGAAAGTCGCACACAATTTTCATGCGACTTACATGCGAGGTTTGAACGTCGTTTAATGCGACTTTGAAGATTTTGGCGAGAAACAGTGATGTGACCCCCAGAGGTGCTTGGCTATTTGATGAAAGTCATCAAAATGGACTTTGGGATAATATATTTGTTGAACGGAATTGAATCGATATGAAAATGATGAATCCGTGGTGACTGGTGATGAATTGTAATAAGATTTCATTACTTTTGTTACGGTATTTGGCGATGAATGTGAAGAATTGTGAATATAAAATTCAATATGTGAAGAATTTGGTGAAAGAATGGTCTATTAATGAAATATGCTGAATTGGAGATGCAAAATGATGAATCCTGAGAATCCGAAATCAGATTTTGCTCTTTATGCAGGACTTTCACGGAGGGATTCGAGTCGAGTCGAGTGACGATCGAGTCGAGTGACGAGTCATTGCCCCTCTTGGCTTGCGGACTTGGCTTGCGGAGTGGGCGCTTTGGCTCTCGCGCTGCCGCACTTGGAATGTGGAGGATGTGCAACGCCGAGCCTCTTTCATGACCACCAGACCAAATAATGGCTTCACAGAATTCCTGTGCTCTCTTGCTGTCACTCCACAGCGCAGGTAACGCGCTGCAAACAAAGTAAAGCAGAGAATAAGACGAACGAGGACAAGACGCAATACTACCAGCTTTAAGCTAGCTATCGAAGGCATTGGTTCAAGACTGTCACTCGACTCTAACCAGCTAATCGTTGGGGCACCATTTTCGATGTTGCAACCAAAGCCGTCGTCTAGTAGCGACGAGGAAGACAGTTACCCCGTGATGGCCGCGGCGTCAATACTGGCCTCTGCTGCTGCGGACAGCAGCAGCACGAAAGATCCAACAACCACAGAGGGAGAAGAAAAGGCGACCACAGAGGGAGAAGAAGAAAAGAAACCTGAAATTGCGGAAGCCAGAGCCCCGGATCAAGATCCGCAGGAGCCTTCAACAACTGTCACCCATGAGCAGCGCTGGGAGGCGATGTTTCATCGCTTGGTAGCTTACAAAGCGAAGCACGGTGAGTTATCTATTGTATGTGCACTGGTTTTGTGTTTGTCGAAATATTATTTCTTCTCATGGTGCCACTCTGGGCTCTGGACGATATGGTCGTTCAAATAGGTCATTGTCTCGTACCCAACAGATATGCGGAAGATACCCAGCTTGGATCTTGGGGTGAGTAGAGCTCAGTCGAGTTCAATTGCTGAATGAGCTACTGAGGCTTCCATGCTCACTCTCCGTGTCTTTCTTTTCTATCTCACAGTTTCGGCCCAGAGACGGCAATATAAGATTGTCACAAGTGGTGGAAATGAGTCGGCTGCCATGACACCGGAACGCGCCCAGAAACTGAACGATATTGGCTTTGAGGTACGTTCTCTGCGGGCCTTATCCTGCGTAACAACACACTGAAGGGCGTGTCAGCTCAAATGTACCTTTTTGATATCCATTGCTTCCCCTTGACTACCTACCTACCAGTGGACCACAACCAACCCAAGGTGGGTAGCTTCAAGACATTACACAAAGAGGCATGAATCGTTCGGATCTTTAGCTGACAAAGGGGTTGATTTTTATTTCCAGGAATGTCCCTTGGGAGACTCGGCATGCCGAGCTTAAAAGCTTTGTGGTGCGTTTTAGCTGCTGGCATCTCCTCGCTGGATGTTGAAAAAACTTTTCACTGACCATACATACGCTCCGATGCAGGCCAATTATGGACACGCTGAAGGTGAGCGAATGGTATCTGAATTCTTGCCAATGCTTTGTGAAATGTTGCTTATTGCATACCTTCTTTAGTGCCCATGAGATGGGAAGAGAATCCACAACTGAGCAACTGGGTCTCCAAGCAGGTAAGTTAAAGTACAAAGAATTGCCAGCAGATTGTTGGTTGTGTTCCAAAACAAGAATACTAGGGCTCATCATATATTTGTGCTCTTCAGCGGCATCAATACAAACTTTTGCAATCCAATAAACCATCGCGTTTGAACGCGCATCGAGTGAAACTCTTGAATGACGTGGGGTTTGTCTGGGAAGCTTCACGGCGTAGATTGACGGGTGACGACGAGGATGATGGCGGCGACGACGACGAGGAGGATGACAGGAAGCCGCCCGCAGGCGGTGGCAGTAGAAAGAAGCCAAGGGTGAGGGATCGATCGGATGAAGGGTCCAACGATGGCGATAGTAAGAAAGGGGGGGATTCGGGTTTTGCAGCCGGTAGACCTGGTCCTCTTGCAACCAATCCCTCTATGCTCTCGCCACAACAGCAAGCAATAGCAAACCCAGCGCAACCGTTTGCGGGGCAAGCCATGCAAACCAACTTGGGCCTCTGGGCGGCCATGGCAAGCAGCCAAGCTAGTGGTTTCATGCAACCGGGACAGATGCAGCTCGCCATGGGTGGGGGAGCCGCATTCAATCCAGCCTTCTTCCTTCCAAATATGATGCAAATAGGGGCCAGCTCAGCCATGCAGGGTGCAGCAGGAATGTCATTTCCTGGTCAAATGGCAGCATCAATGATGCCGGCAGGAATGGGAATGGCTGTTGTGCAACAACCCAACGCTTCGTTTGGGATGAATACAACGCCACAACAACAAGGTCTCACTGCTGGGTTCCAACCAAGTAATCTGCAACAACCGCAGCAACAGGCCATGGGCGGTGGTGGGTTTCAACCGAATCTTCACCAGCAGCAACAAGCCATGGTCCCACCGAATGCACAACGCGATGCGTTGGCTGCCGGAATACTGCAAAATGTCCAGCTACAAGGTATGTCAGCTGCCGCCGTATACCTACCAAGGAATTCACAACAACAGGTCGCCGCCGCTAACGGTCGGGCTCCTCCTCCGTCGCCACCAGAAGAAATGGGTCACGATGAGGGACAAAACCATGGTGCTGATGACAAAGAAGGAGGGGCTTCTAGATAGATAGAGAAGGTGGCCGAGAGGCATGGTTTTTTTGTGGCAACGCGGAGACGTTCTCGCTGTCCACACTGATTTGATTTTGCCTCCTTTCTCTGGTCAGACTTCCATCGTGGTACCGTAGGCGACGAAAGCCACGGAGGCACAACTGGGAAACTGCACCATTAAGGTGTTCTTGTTGTGTCTGTAGTTGCCCGGAGAAAGCAAATAATTATCGAGCCTTGCGAGGTGGACTTCAGCGGGTCTCCAGGACGCTGGTCGGTGTTGGTTGTGGATCCGCACGGCCGCAATGGAAAGACTTTAATTGCAAGAACCGAGATACACCACAAGAGGACGCTACAGCCAGTCCACACAAGCACGGATCTATCAACTGATCTATCTATCTCAATTTTTGCGCTTTCGGTCACTGAATCAATCAAATGATGAATCGAATCATTCTTAATAGAGGACGAGCGAAAGCAGACTTCCGGCTCACGTGCAAAGTGCCATGGTGGTCGAGCTTCTGATTGAATTCTTCAAAACAGCACTTCTAAGAACCTGGGTGGTACGATACTAGCTAGCTAGCTAGAGTACCACCTCCAAACCAGAAACCAAATGCACTGTCATGTGTCCTGCGGTTGTGCGGCACCGGTAAGGCGGCTCAAGTCCTCGACTTTTCACGGGCGGCTTCTTTTTTGCGGGGACAGCCATTCTGGTTCGGTTGAGGGAGAGTTGATGCACATCACACTTCCTGATAATTGTTTCTCGGTCGAGGCTTGCATTAGAATGGAACTTTTTCAGAAATAGTCAAGGCATCAGAGGAAGCAGTATGGCGGCCACAACTTGAACGTCTTTCTTGACGTGGCTATCGATTCGAGCCTTGTCAAAGTAGACACTTCTTTGCCGGCGTGTCGATCAGAAGCTTTCACTGTCCGCCTTTGTACGGGTCACGAAAGATCACAGAAGCGAGACAGTCGAGCGCAATCATATCAGTTTCAGGGCGACCTCATCCAGCGTTCCCTGTTCAGGACGTTGGGACACAACGCATGCTGTGAGGGAAGTGAGTCGAGTCGGATCTTTGCAGGAACAGTGCAGCCCCCAAACATTCGGGGGTTAATTTGAGGAGCTTGTCAATCACTCCGTTACTTCCTTTCTTGCAGGCCAGAGGAGAGATTCCCGTTGTCGTCGCAGACCCTGACTGATGATCCTTTCAGTTCGACGAGAATCTCGAGCTTGTCTCGACGGGGACAAGAGATTTGAGCTCCCATCCCTACACTGTACATCAATCATGGATCTGCTTTGCTTTGAATCGATTTATCAATTTATCAATGCGAGGCGCCATCTGTGAACCTGAGATGACGGCAAGCGGAGGTTCGGCCCGCCAACAGATGTTGCGAAGAGTTGAGTCCAACGGAGAAGCAGTCCCCTGGGGCCAACCACAGCCGACTCCATTCTGCGGGAGAGATGATTGCCACCAAACTGATGTTGAGTGCGCAGTCGAAGATGCAGCGGAAACGACAACCCTCTCTGGGTAGCTAGCCGCAATGTGATGCTTGCTCCAGTAGAAGATTGCGGAGTCAGGGGATTCAGCAACAGCAACAACCCACAATAGTGAACCCATAAATTCTAAGTATGGACATGCTGGAACACAACCATTCTTGAGAAAACCTGCTGGACATGCATGGCTACATCAATCTTCCAGCAGGCCCTTTGGTACCATTTTTTCTATTGGTGTTTCTCTATCGGTGTGAAAACCATTGCAAATAATTCAGCCGCCGACATAGTTAGAGCAATGACCTGATTGAGTCATTGGGGTTCAACTTGAGACCTTGTGGTCTTCGGGGTATACGTAGTACCAAACGCGGCGACGGTGATCGTGACGGGGCCTACTGTCGACGACCGGCGTTATGAGCGTCGATTCCAAACATTTTCGCTCTTTGCTCGTCGATGATACTGTATCATTCGCACCAAGATGCGGTAGTACAACTAACTTGCTCCACTTTCCCCAAAATCACTGCACCTAATACTTACTTTTTGAATTCAATCCGCTTCCCACCGATGAGGCAAGTTGGTGCTTGTGCCGGTACACGTATTATCATGCCGAAGAAAATTACGCCCAAGATCCCGACGGAAAGAATCCAACCTCTTTCGATGAAGGAACTGGCACCGTCTTCATTGGTACCGTACTACGACGGTATCGTTTTAGCTAGCAAGACGGTAACAAAACAACTCGAGCCAAAGACAAGCCATGATGGAGAGAACGATAAAATCAACCGTGGCTGGCAACAACAGGACCAAAATACACGACGGTGGGGACTCCGTGACGGCGGCAACGCACTTCGTGCAACTCGAGACGGGCCAATTATATTATGCAGTACTGGTACATGTTCATACCGACGGCAAAAAAAGGCTCTGTTGAACCTCCAGCCAAGATGCAGAGGATCGCAAATAAAGGAAGCAACAACCAAAAGTGGGCTTCAATGTTGCGCTCTTCCTGCCCCTTCCGTGGTCGTCGCAAAGTTGGGGCTTTCTCCACGATTGATAAGCGAATCCTTGCACCTCGTCTTTTGCCTCTCAATCAGAGGACGGATTCCGAAGAAAGGAACAAAAAAAATGAGACTTCTTTACTCTAGCTACGGTAGCAACTTCTAACCGTTGGATGAAGGCAACACGTAGCTTTAGAAGTGGATATCCCCGGCAGGTATATTGCAAACCGATCTTTTTTTTAAAAAGATAGTCATCGCAACTAACTAGCTAGACTACTGTAGCTAGTACTATCGATAGCCAGCTGCCTTGTGGTAGCTGGAAAGAAAAGTTGACTGAGTAGCTTTTGGTCTTGATTTCCTAATAAGCAAACTACCGTATGAGCGAGACAGTCTACGAGTCGAGTCGGTATCTTCGGAGGTACGGAGGTACACGTACCGTACAGACGGGGGCCAGTACCGGTACTCGTACCGAAACAACTGGCCATTCCTCTATTAATTCCGCGACTACTGGTACGACACTTCAACCACGGTAACGTAATCTTCTCTAAATCCACATCTCATTGCGGGATTCTATGGATGTGTGACTACATGTACAGTATCAGTACCTTGTAAACTTAACTCCAGGCACTACTGATATTCCGCGACTAACGGTAAAAGCGAACGTACTCTTCTCTAAATCCTCATTGCCGCATTAATTCTAATGGATGTGTGACTGGCTGACCGTCACTAGCTAGTAGTAGGAATACTTCCCATTGGCGGCAGCGCCTCTCACTTCCGCATGTTGACTACCATACGGTACCAGTACAGTATTTCAGTTCAGCTCCATTGCTGAGTAAAGGGGTACTCGTACAAGGTCATCCATCAAGCATCCACCATCCACCATTGGCTAGTTGGGGGTCCTTTTCCTGGAACAACGGTTACTCTATTGGGTTGCAAGGAACCGCGTCAACAATACACAACGCCTCTGGGTCATTCGTCTGGTCAAGAAGGAGGAGCGGAGGTAGCCAGTGCTTCCTGGGATAAAGCATATATACCCATTGCTAGCTAGCTAGCTGGAATCTTTGGACAGCGACACTATAGAGGCATCACATCACATCACATCGCATCGAATCGATTGTTGTATCCAACCATGTACCGGCAAAACTCGGCTCCCAGTCTTGCCGAGCGGCTGAATAGCCGACGACCCAAACGAAATGGGGAGGTTGGACTTGGTGGTTCCAGTCTGCATGCTACCAGACCGCGCCATAATATGGTTGGATCCTCGTCGAACGGTTTGGCCAGGTCGCCTAACAATAATAATACTCGTAATAATGCGGATGACAATGACGACAATCCGAATGATGACAAACTCCGCCAAAAGTTACTGGAGCAGTTACAATGTCTGGGCAAGCATTTGGCCGGGAATGTGGTGGATTTTCTGATTGAAGAAGTCGAAAAGAAAATTCTAAATGACTATGCCAAGGCTGCCATGGGAGAAGAATCAAATGCCGGAATGGATGACGACGAAGAGGAAGAAGAGTCCATGGGAGATTCTAATTTGGATATTCTGCAGTCGTCGGACGAGGAAGAAGAGGAGGAACAAGAAGAATCAGAAGTAGTAGAGGAGAATGCTTTCGAGGACGAAGACGAAGACGACGAAGAGGAAATGAAATTTTTCGGTCGTCCTGCCAGGGGAGGTGGTGGGCTTGGGTCATTATACGGTAGTGGTGGCAGGGGCAATCTCCAGAATCCTTCTTCTTTGGGGAGAGGTAGAAAAGGCGGGCTATATGCGGGAGGCGATGATAGCGATTCATCCCTGGGACTTGCCGTTGGTGGGGGTGGACCAAAGCCAAGTAGGACTGCTGCTGCCAGCAATAGCCGAAACAATGGAGGGCTCTACGGTGGTGGTGGTGCTGGATTGGGTGGAAACTTGTATGGCGGAAACAATTCTCTTGGAATGCGAGGAGGAGATCAGAAAAACAAAACCAAAAATGGTGACGTGTCTCCCAGTATGCCTAGTCGAGGCCTGCGATCAGGTGGAAACAGACAGCGATCGGTCTCCCCTCGACGGAATACTATTCAAGGGGGCTCTTTGCAGCCACAGCAACAACAAGCACCCAAAATTGGAGCAAAATTTGGGCGTCGACTATCAGCGACTGCTCTTCTGACAGAAGAAGATGAAGAGGACGATGACGAGGACTTGCTTCCGTCACCAGCAAGTCGCTTTGGAGCGGCATCAGCGGAGAATCCTTATCGAAGAAATGCTACACTGCCACCACGGCTCAATGCCGAGTCACCTCCAAATTCTCCGAAATCTCGAACCTCATTTTTGTCACCCAATTCGTCTCCCAAACGTTCTGGTGGCAAATTGGACCTCAGTAGGTTTGAAAAGGGATCTCCAATGGCATCTCCCAAACGCAGCAACCAGCTTCTCAGCATGGCGAGCTTGGATCATTCGGATAAATCAAATGACGGAGGGGGCACCCCGGATTATCGACGAAAACTTGCAGGCAACGCCAAAAGGCCCAGCAGATTATCCAACTCGGACGATAGCCTGTCGCCCAAGCGGAACAGTCGGAATAAATTGGGCTCGTCCCCGTCGCCCAAGAGAGAAAGCCCCAAACCTGCCGTAAAGGCTCCCGGCAAAAGAGCCCAGAGGCCATCGCTGATGGTGAAACAAGGATCTGTCCGACAAGTCATGAGCATGTTCGAGTCAAAGGAAAGCAGAAGGGCCGCCGGAAACAGAACTGTCATGCCGCTATTGCGGGAGAGCTCGGTTAAACATATTATGGACTCGCTGGAAGAGGATCAAGACAAAAATCATCAGGATGGTGCCGACAATCCAAACGAAGCGCCATCTGACTTTCAAACGCCTCCGAATATGCCAACACGCACCCGTACACCTCCTAAAATGCCTTCCAGATCACCAAATCAGTCACCCAAGCGAGGAGTTCAGCGCAACACCAGTGGAATTCGAATGCAGCGCTTTTTGGAAAAGAAATCCAACAATGACCGGCCGAATAGTGGAGTAAAAGCATTTCTTTCCAAGAAGGGAAGTGGCAGCTCCAATGGAAGCAGTGGTTCCATTGGCCGGAATAAACCCTCTCTCGCGCGAAAGACCAGCGGGGGAAAACGGGGCGTGGAACGAACTGCTAGTGGCATGAGACGAGGGGGGCGTCCAGGTTTGACACGACAGTTTAGTTTCGGCAGAACCAAGGGGACGGCCAAAAGTAGCAGTTTTGGAATGTTCGCCCGTGACAGCGTCACCAACAAGCTCTCCAACGAAACGCGAAAACAAAAGCGAATATTCAAAACCCAAAATGCTCTTCGCAAACTCAAAAGAGCGACCGAACACAAATCATCAGGTGATAGTTCCGAGGGTTCTGACTCACAGCTCGACGAGTCCAACTACGACCTCGACAACTTGCTTGGATCGTCAGTCACGATAAAGGTACCTCTGCCTTGCGGGGTGAAGCATCACTGCGCACTGTTGTTTGTGGACATTTCGGGATTCACAATGCTTTCGACTCGTCTCAAGGTCGAGCAGTTATCAAAGACAATCAACGCTTACTTCCAGTTGATTGTTGAGCACATTGAGGCGTTTGGTGGAGATGTCCTCAAATTCGCTGGTGACGCTGTGTTTGTGGAGTGGCGATCAACTCGATCGTCCTTGTTGGCAACTAGTCCGCATGATCCACACGATGGCATGTACGGAGGCGAGGGTCTGGGGGATGAGAAGGCTGTTATCACGGCCGCAGCTTGCGCCGCCCGCATCATTGATAAGTGTACAGACTACGAGGTTATGGACGAAGATGGCAAGAAGGTTGCCACACTCAATCTGCATTGTGCTATCGGTTACGGCGAAGTTATTGGGGTTCATCTTGGTACTATCGACAGAATGGAATACTTCATCATTGGGGACCCCATCAAGCAGGTAGCCACAGCGATGGATCTCGGGAAAATGGGCGAGGTTGTGGCGTCGCCGGAATGCTTGAAGTATCTCGAAGGCAAACCAGCTTCACAACCTAAAGTCATTCTGTCCAAGTCCAACAAGTTTCTGAATCCGAAGCTAATGCTGGTAAAACCCGAGAAGAGAAAGAAAAATCAAGGGAATTCTTTTGGAGATCGCCTTGATGATTGGGACGTGCTGGCTTTGAAGAGCCTCCAAAAGCTCATGTCGCCGTATGTACACCCGGTTGTTGTAGACAACCCTTTGTTTCGGAAAGGGTATGGTTCAACACAGGACAGATTCACAGCGGAGGCAGAGATCAGAGATGTGTTTACCGTCTTCATTCAACCAATGGTGTCATCGCAGGTGACAGGAAACGTCAGCGAAGACTCTGAAGTGTTAGAAACCCTGCACAACATCATGGTCATCGTCAACAACGAACTGCGAAGATTCAAAGGCCAATTGAGACAGTACACTGTTGATGACAAAGGTGAGTTCTTATGTGCTCGTTTGAGACCAGAAAATTTTTTTCGGGTATCGTTCCAGCTGACCAGCCACACTCTGGATTGCAGGGATTGTGCTCATCGCCAACTTTGGGCTTCGTGGTTCCACGTTCCCAGAAATGTAAGTTGCACTCTCTCCCTCTGCTCCTCTTTCTCCTCCTCCTTTCTCGCTGACACGTTCCGGCCTTGCAACGAAGGGTTGAGAGGCTTGCCATGCCGTTTGCTACCAATGTCCAACAAATCCTGAAAACCAAGCTGGATGTTGATACTGTCATGGGAGCAACTTACGGGAAAGCGTACTGTGGTGTAGTAGGGGGTATCGCTCGTCACGAATACGCGGTCCTTGGGCCTTCAGTCAACTTAGCAGCGAGACTAATGGCGAACAAAGCCAATAAGGGTTTTCTGGTGGACGAGGAAGTAAGGAGAAAAGCGAGCAACCGTGGCTTTGAAGGTCTCGCGCCTGTCAAGGCAAAGGGCTACAAGCAACTTGTGCCAATCTTTGAACCAGTACTTCAGCATAGACGATCCTGGGGCGCTCAGGGAACCGACTTTGTTGGTAGAACATCAGAGATCAAGCAAATGTTGAAGCTTGCCGAGGATGTAATCGATGCTGGAGCCTCAACTCCAATGGTTTGGGTTTCTGCGGAAAGCGGATACGGAAAAAGTGCTTTGTTGGCCCATGCCACTGAGAAAGTCCAAGATTTGTGCTCCTCGAAGTCGGCTACCCATATTATCCTTTGCCACGTGTGTTCGGACTCGGACTCATTTCAGCCTCTTAGGTACGAAGTTGCTTTGTTTTTGTATTTGCGTGGCACGAAAACACCATCGCATCCTTAATGCTAACCGTGTTCAAAACACCAGCGTCGTCGGTCCCCTCTGTCTCGATATTCTGGCCTTTGTGAGGAGAGACAAAGATGAGAGTCGCTACAAGAAACCAGATGGCTTCAATGCGATTGCTGCGTTGGCTAAACCTGGATCAGAGCATTCGCCGTTTCAGATATTGGGTGCATGTCGCGACGCGGAGATTCCTGATACCTACATTCGTCCAATCTGCAGCCTGTTGCTAAATCACTCCTGGCCGACGGAAGTTGGTGACTGCGAACGCGACGCACAGATTTCTGAAGTTGCACGGTACATCGTGACGCTGTTGCTGCAATCCACAATTCATCTTGATCTGGTGGTTTGGGCTGTCGATGATATCCCCCATGCAGATCGCGGTTCCTGGAAAGTGCTTGAACTTCTGCATCAGTACTCTTGCAATTTCCTGCTGCTGATGGCATCAAGACCAGTAGCAGGAACGGATATGAATGTGGATATTCAGTTTTGGGAACGTCTTCAGGACCAGGGGGAGAATGACGGATCATTTGCCCATCTCGAGCTACGTGCCATGACAAGGGACGATTTAGATTTGCTTGTGAGGAAGTTTGCTTCGAGCAAGGGTTGGGATGCAAATGTCGATTTTGCAACTATCACAAAAGAAGTGTTTGTTCAATCCGGAGGAGTGCCTCATCTCGCAGCGCAAATACTGGAGAGGAAGTCTTCAAGAATAACAGGCAAGGGGGACTCAGGATCGCGAAGCCCTAAGTTGAATGGAAACAAGAAGGTAAGCAAAACTGCTCATCTTGGTTGGTTGGGCTTCATTCTACATTCGATTCGATTCGCTGCTAATTATTCCCCGCATCTGCTCAGAAGAATTCTGCAAACTCGCTGGACCGGCTGACGATGAGCGCTGCCATCCGCCAACCGTCCTTCGCAAGCTTGGGAAGTGGGAGTGCCCACAGCGGAACTTCAGGTATGGCTCAAGTTGGCGAGCACATGATGCATCGCATGGATCTGCTGTCGCACGAGGCTCGGACGCATATCAACCTGGGAGCAATTCTTGGACCGGCGTTTGAATCTGCTGATGTTGTTTCTGTCATGGAAAGGTATCGAGGAATCAGCGAGAGCGATAGGGAGGGACACAAGCAATCAGTGCTTGAGAGTTTGGTGCAAGCCGCCGACAGTGGCATATTGGAAGAAGATTTGACTGGTGCAGGGAACAGTATGAGCTTCACTGCCCAGGAGACCTTCTTGGGATCAGAGAGCGTAACCTACAAGTTCACGCATGATGACTGGAGAAAGAATATCCTGAAGGTTGTCCTTGACAGCTGGAAGCGTGACATGTACCAGTTGCTGGCGGCATCACTGGAAGCTCGCTTTGACTTCAAGAGCCGCAGACCGGACCGCCAAATTCGCCAACTCTTCGATCCGTTCAAAGGTGGGAAAAAGAAAGGCAAGAACATCAGCGTTGCCTCCGAGTTGGCTCTCAAAATTGGAGCGAAGATGGCCGACAATGGGAAAGGTCGATACAGTGTGAGAATATATCAGAGGGCTCTCGACTACTGGCTCAAAGACGATGAAAGCAACGGAATTCTGATGTTTGAAGGTAAGAAAACTGGTCTTTCTGTAGAACACGCCAATCGTGTATGCCCATCTCATTTCTTTATATTGTTCAGATGAAAACGAGTCAAAATCTGATTTGCTGACAGGCGAAGATTTGGAGTATGTCTTGAAACTAAATGCCGCCATGGGGCGATGCTCTTTGTTGCTCATGGACAAGGATAAGAGCACCGGTGCTTTCCAGGCAAACCTCGATGTAAGTAACCACTTGGGTCGACATCTTTTGTGGAATCGGGCATGTTGACTCAACGAGGTCTTTCATGACAGCTTGTACCCGATTCCAAGGATTTGAAAGATCCAGCATCGCTCTTTCCGTCTTTCTCCGGCCGTTTCTACACAAACCGCTTGGCTCGAAAAATTGATCACGAACCAGAAACAGACTTTGTCTACAGCTTTGTAGAGGAAGCAGAAGCCCACAAGAATCCAATTCACCAACTACAAGCACTCGCGATGGAAGCGGAAGTTTTTGGCAGGGCCGGAGAATGCGACAAAGCACTCGAAGCATGCCAGGAGCTTCGCAATTTGTACAATGTAGCGACACACTCGTCTCAACTGATTGACTTTTACGGAGACGATTATTGCGCTCAGTGTATTGCACAAAGTGCCAGTTGGCACTTTCAACTCTCTCAAAACGGCAAAGCCCGGGAGGTATGTGAGTACATCGTGGGGATTCTGCCTTCCCTGCATGGCACGAATTGCTTTCTTGCCCTCTATCCTATTCTTTGGGTCTTGAAGGACTCGCCAGGACAGGCAGGGCGTGCCCTTAGTCTCTGTCGCGAATTCCTGCCTGTCAAGGATAGCTCCAAGGTGAAGTGTGCTGGCTCCGCTGATTCCGAGGATGCTGATGAGGAGGAAGAGGGGGGCATCGATAGCCAGCAATCAGAAGAAGAGGTGGAAAATTCCTTCAGTCCGTTCAGGTTGCTACATAAACCCATCACCATCTTGATGGATTTGTCGTCAAGGACGGTGGAAGACGACACCGCTGTGGAGTACGCAAACTGGGCTCTCAACAGCAAGTGTGAATTCGACAAAGCCTTCAACATGTACACAGGCAGCATTGGGAGAACCGCGGACTCTATCACCGCGGAAATCTGCCTGTACTTGGCTACATACGAGGCCGCAGCAAGTTTCAAGAGCGGCCTCATGTCGAAGGCGTCGTCTATTGTCACCTCGTCTATGAAATTGACGAAGTACATGCCGGCTGCGTACAAGCAAGTAAAGGGTTTTGCCTACGACAAGAAATTCCGTGGATTGTAGTTTGTTTGCATGGTGAGATTGACCTTGTGAGATAAATAAAAATACCACTTGCCTACACCCCCTCCTACTGCACGTACAAGTACATGTAGGTCTACATACATGGAGCTGACTATCTAGCTAGCTAGCTGGGTGAAATGCATGGTACCGGTAGCGTCAATTGTGTGTTGGAAACCTTGTCGGTTTGGGGAGATAGGAAGAGCTCCAAACAAGCTCTCCGGCCTTCATTCACGTTTTATGAATCCCGTACTGGTACCGGTACCATTCGTCCTCACCGTTAGCATTTCTCCAAGATACTTAAGAAAAACGTGTTTTGGATTTTTGAATTTGAGCTCATTCCACTCACAATCCGAATGCAAGAAAACGCAAACCCCCACTTCCCAAATCATTTGTACCGTTCGGGTAATACAGACCCGTGGTCGAAGATGTTCAGCGGAGGCAAGAGCTCTGGGCACCGCCGTGTGCCCTCGCCCAAGATGAAAGATGATCACTTGGAGCCGCTAGACACAGATTTTCCGGCACCAAATTCGCTTTTTCCTCAGTACTCAAACCCTCATCCCGGATTCTCCAATGCTACCCATGCTATCGATGAAGAGACAGTCGATTTTGTCACTAGCAGCGATGGCATTATATCGCCTCGTTACAGTCGATCAACGAGAGTAAATAGCCCCGAAGGGGACAAACAGATCCCTCTACATGTCCAAACATTCGAGACCATGTCGGAAGACGAAGAGGAGCCGCCCGTGAAACATCCCAGCGAGTTTCCCTATCTTAGCCCCCCGCAGTCTCGCAAAAAGCAGTTGATGCCTATGCACGGAGGAGCTCAAGAAACGAAGAAGAATGCCACAACCGAGAAGCAATCGTCAACGTTCGCCAAACACAAAATTGGAATCCTCGTTTGTCTCTTGTTGGGTCTTTTGGCTGCGCTCATTGTGCTCATTGTCCGTAGCACAAGCCCAACTCCAGCAGACAACAACGCATACATCGAGAATACCAGTAGCGGCAGCAATCTGGCTAACGATATTGCGCCTGACACGCAAGAGCCGGCAGCAATCGATTCAGCCGTGCCTATGTCGTCCAACACCTCCTCGCCTAACGGTACTTCCTCCACCCTGATCACTAACAACGAGCCACAAGAAGAACTCAACTTTCTACCACCTATGAACCCTACAACTCCTCGTCCGACGCCAGTACCATCTGTGGCACCAATTGTCACGGCAGAACCAACCTTGTGGGAACCCATCACTTCTCTTCCCAGCATCCCCCCAAAGGTGTCGCCCACAACACGCGCTCCCACTATTCAGGTCAACCATCCTTTGATTCGAGTCATACAGCCAATTGTCCCTCGTCAGATTTTGTTAGATCCATACACACCTCAAGGAGAAGCCCTCATCTGGATGGCCACAACCGACCGACAAACTCCGTCTAATAACAATCGAATAATCCAGCGTTTTGTAATGACGGTAATGGATGTAGCATTACATTCCCCCAGGCCTCGACTATGGAGTTCTCGTAATCTTCACGAATGCCGCTGGCCAGGTGTGACATGTAACGATTCCAAGCATGTCACGGGAGTCAACTGGGCCCGACAGAGTCTACAAGGTACAATTCCAACGGTGCGTATCAGCCATCTATCTAGCACGGCGGTCATCCTTGGAGGCTTTTGCACACTGACCAAACTCGCTCTATTTCTCGTCATACAGGAAATTAGTCTCTTGACACATCTAGAAAGTGTTGATATTGCTCAGAATCAGCTAAAGGGTAGTATAGAGCCATTGTACTCACTGGAGAAGCTGAAGTATGCCTATGTGTTTGAAAACCAACTTACCGGTACCATATCACCAGACATTCAGAACTGTCGAAACTTGACGCGCTTCTTCGCAGGACACAATCAACTATCTGGTTCTATTCCAGCCGACTTGAAAATGAGACCATTGGGTGAGTCGAGTCATCGGCAACGTGGATGTATGTTTCTTTTTCTTTTGATCATTACGCAGCTGACTCTTGGTCTCGATTGATCTACTTTTCTCCCATCGTAGAATGGCTCGTCGTTCATTGGAACAGACTTACCGGTACCATACCTTCCGATTTGAGCCTGGGCTTGAATGTTTACCTTGACCTTTCACACAACCAGTTCACCGGAACAATTCCAGAAAACTTTGCAACGGAAATAGTACCCAATGTTCGCCATGTACATCTCGATCACAATCAGTTTACTGGGTCCATCCCAGGAACCTTCCGAGAATTGGGCAAGGGACGTCTGCGGCAGCTCTTTCTAAACGACAATAGATTCAACGGCAAGTTTCCAGAAGACTGGCTGTTCCCCAAGTTCCTGAACAACATTGATCTGTCAAATAATCGATTCCGGAACAATCTGAACGAAATGTGCCTCATGTCGGTCTTTGAATACGGCGAGTTGGTAGAACTGAGAGCTGATTGTCCGATCTGTAACTGTGACAGGCTATGCAGAACATGCAGAGACAACAAAGACTACAAATACGAGGTACGACATTGATTGCTTGTTTGTTGGCGCGTTCGCCGTTCTCTTTGACTGTGACCATCAGCATCTTACTCTGTTTCTGTGGCAGTACGATGATGACGATTGGCAGTTTGACGATGATGGTGCATAAAGCAACCTAACTGGTGATTTATTGATCACCATAGTTTCTGTCATGGATGAGGACACTGTGCAGACGACGGCAGCTCCCGAACCAGTCGCTGCGCTATAGAGTGTGTTTATTATTATTGATGAAGAGGCTATAAGAATTTTCTCAGAATTGGAAAATGGCGTTTAGTATACCAAACTTATAAGAGATAGCTCTAGCTAGGAAAACATGCCAACATCTCGCCCCAAGTTATTATGATAGAAGTACCGTACAGATTAGTCTTGGTACTACCTAGTCGGATCAGATTTTTTGGGAGTATGGCAGCAAATCATCTGATCCACTTCATACTCTCTGTCTACATCATGTACATGTTTGAACCTTTACAAATTGATGAACAAGACACATGACATACATGCATGCAACATGCAACTCGAAGGTTTCAGGTGGACCCCGTTTTGTGGCCAAGATTGAGTGACAGTCCCACGAGTATGGCAGCTCTGACTCTGCCAATTATTATGAGCGCATTCGCCTAAGTGGACAATTTAAATCCAAATTCAAAACTTTGACTATTTGCAGAGCACTTTTTGTTGGGTTTTCCAACGTTCAATCCACACCATGTGGCTCTGTAAATGAAATTCAGAAGATTTGGTCTCTCACATTTCACATTCTGTAGTAGTACCGGTATCAACACCTTTCATCCACCAGCCACCAACTGTATCGATTGAACAATGGCAAGAAAGTCCTACCATATTAAGAATGGATCTTCCAGGCGAGAAGGGCAAGCCAGTTCGCGAAACACTCGTCACGGCCTTGATACGTCTTTTGAAAACATGATAGTCACTGCTACCGGTCGTGAGGCCTTTGACTTATCAGTTAGCACCATCCATACCTCAAAGTTGGAGACCATACCGGTAGCACCTACCGGTAGCGTTGACCGTACCTCAAGGGAGGATCCCGAAGGGACTATTCTAGAAGACAACTATTCTGGAATCTTCGGGGACACTCCTTACTATGATCAGGAGAGCCAAGCAGTTCTGGCCTACGAGAGCAGCTTTGATTCTACATGCCCCACGGATAGCTTTGACAGCGGAAACAGAGATAATTCGAACCCAAGTCCACCAAAGACTAGTCAACGCAGACGTCCCTTTCGCAATCCCAAAGGGTATGTCAGTTTCGATTCCAGCACAGCATCTACCTCCTCGACGCTTCGCCGTTGCTGCATGAAGGATTGTACCTACTGCCTTCTCTGCTTTGCTGTCTTTCTAGTGGGTTTATCTATTGCGGGAACCGCTATGATTGTCCTGAATGTGTTTGAAAAGAAACCAAACGCTGCAACAAGCAATGCCACTTCAGCTGAGTATGATTCCTCTTCGGATGACTTGGTGGGTCCTGTGACTGTCACAGCGTGGACCTCAACTCCAACGTCTCTACCAACGTTCTTTCCTACACATCGAACCACAAGCACACCAACAGAAACCCCTTCTTCTCCTCCTCAATCCACACCAAGTACTACCCCATCGATTCAAAACAGCCAAACGCCTAGCATTGCACTCACAAGTTTCCCTTCCGCCATTCCAACAAGTTTCCCAACCGCCATTCCAACAAATCTCCCCACAAGTCATCCGTCATCTGCCCCGACTTCAATGGGACCAACAACAACTCCAAGTCAATTTCCCACAAGGATTGCCTCGGAGAGGCCTTCTTCCACTCCAACCAAAGCACCAACGCGCTCCCCTGTGGACATGTCCCAAAGCGTTTTCTACCAATACTTAGATGGGGCAGTGCAGGACCCTGCCGCCTTGGCAGATATCAGCTCACCTCAAGGGAGAGCCTTGGAATGGTTGGAAAATGAGGATAAGATCGAACTTGACATCTTGCGTCTCAACGCCAGCACACCAGAGAACAGGAGAACGCGAATGCTTCGAAACTTATACCAACGATTCGCCATGGTTGCCTTGGACTTTGCCTTACATGACACGGTGGAAGAAACGGCATGGTCATTTCCGAGGCTTCATGTTTGTCTGTGGACTGGTGCCAAGTGTAATGAAGCGCGAGAAGTAAACGGCATCAACTGGGCACGCATGAACTTGACAGGTACCATTCCTCCTGAGTTGGGACTGCTCACCAATGTGGTTTCTTTAGACATTGCCCAGAACCGACTAAAGGGATTTCTGGATCCTCTCTACAATCTTACCGCAGCCGTGGATATATTTGTGTTTGAGAACCAGCTTTCGGGACCTCTCACTCGAGGCCTCGAACAATGCCAGAGCTTGACTCGGTTCATGGCAGGCCACAATCAACTAACCGGGCAACTTCCCGCTCTCAACATGGATAGTTTACGTAAGTTTGCCACTCAGAAATACTTCTAAATGACAGGATACGCGTGTCGCTCAACTTTCTGTTTGCAAACCAATCTTCATTCATGTACTTCTGTTGCATTCTTAGGTTGGTTCAACGTTCATCACAATGGATTCACTGGGGCCATTCCTTGGACGCTCGCCCTTGAAAACGTCAAGATATTCGACGTTACAGGGAATCAAATCTCGGGACAGCTTCCTCTCAACTTTGTGGATAGTGTGGTTCCCAGTGTTCGTCACCTGTATTTGGGAAACAACAGGCTCAACGGTACCGTACCTGAGGATTTTGTCAACCTTGGCAGGGGACGCGCCCTTCAGATCTATATGAATGACAACCAGGTGAGTCGAATAACACCTTGGGGGTCAACAGCCCTGGATGGCTACCTAAGTTTTGCGTAATCTAACTTGCAAACTGCGTCTTGCCCCAACTGTGTTCAGTTGTCCGGTGGCTTTCCTACTCGTTTTGAAGAAATTAAGCATTTGAGTAAGTCTTCACCAGAGTTTTGTCCCGCGCTTTTGCGCCTTCGCGATTCTGTTAAAGTTCTAACGTGACATAATAATGCCTCTTCGTACCATAGCCAATCTGGACCTCTCGAACAATCTCTTTACGCAACGGTTGGGTAAAATGTGCCGCATGTCCGTTTTTGAATACGGCGAGCTTGTCGAAATGAGAGCAGACTGCCGCATCTGCAACTGCAATCGCATCTGCCGTACCTGTCATGACAATGTCGACCACTTGTATGATTATGATGATGACGAGTGGATCTTTGACGATGACACTCTATTCGACAACAACGATGGCGAGGAAGACGACGACGATGATGATGACGACGATGACACTCCAGTTATTGCTGAGGGAGAAGTGGAAGTCTTAGTAGAACCCCCCCCCGCTCCAGTTCGCCCCCCAGTGAGACCTCCTGTGCAAGCTCCTGTACGTGCACCAGTTCCCGCCCCAGTGAGACCTGATCGAAAACCGGTACTACCCCCACGACCAGCAGAGGACGACGATGACAACACAGTTCCGGCTCCCGAAACAGTTCCACCACCACAGATTGTCACTGGTGACGACGATGACAACTTAGGCGACAACGAGGCGCACCAAAGCAAACCGGTTCCACAGGAAATCAATGTTGTAACCCAACAACAACTCAACGACGAGGACGACAACGTTCCACCGGGCCAGCCCATACAGCTCAATATCATCAATGTAGACGCTGACGCGGATGGCAACGGAGGGGCTGGACCAATCCCCCAACTAAATGTTATTAATGGTGGGGTGAGTCTTCAACAAGACGAGGACCAGTTCAACTTCCTAGACGAAGAAAATGACGATGCAACCCTCTTCGGCGACGACGACCGCCAGTAGCTGCAATCTGAAGCTTGCCAGACGTACCGTACTTGCTGGAGTACTATAGATTTTGAACGCTGAAACCCAGCTGTAATACAGTTCATCCATATGATACACAAAAAGTAGACTACGATATTATTCCGCAAGATTACCGATCTGCTTGCACCAACAAATAAACACAGGACAAGGCCAATTGTAATCACTAAGCTTGTGGTTAGTCCTTTATAAGACTGGTTTTTAGTTAGTTTCCGCATGCCATTTTCTTCAAAGTTGAACTACGTGTATCCGTAGCTACATAGCTGCAGTAGTCTACCGGTACATTACAGGGCTGACCTTTCAGTGCGGTTGGCATACCGGTATCGATGCAAGATGCTGTTTGCGGTTTTAGAGAATGGCACCACACGGCACACGGCACATCTAGCCCAGGCCAAAAAAGTGGCGAAGAACTCAAATTCACAAAGTCGCCTTGCTTTCACGACGCCTGTCCGTTCACAGAAATGGCGGTTTTTCTCACCGTTCATTCTCACATTTCATCTTTTTTACGTTCATTGACATTAGTACCAAAAAGGGAAAGGCACCATGATGGATGAACCGAATTCTTCGTTTGATTACATGATCAAGCAGGCAACAAGCTCTGTGATGGAGCGGTCCAGAAGCGAGGCTAGTAGCACCAAGGGTTTGACTTCTCCTGGAAAGGCAACGTCGCTTGCAAGCGGTCTGGTAACACCGAGGCGAGTACGCTCCTCTGGGAGCACCATTTCCCAAGTGGACTATGCCATCTTTGACAAATACTCTGTTAGCATTGACGCTCACGATGACAGCCATGACGTATGTCAGGATATGCCCGTCGATAAGACTGACGATGCCGTGTTGGTACCCAATAGCAGTCCTGAGGTGAACAGCAGCGTCGACAGGGATAGCATTAATGGCGATGGTAGCATTGTTGACAAGGATAACATCATAGATGGAGACCTTGACAGTGACATTGAGGATGGAGTGAAGGCGATTGAAACCTGTACGACAAATGAGAGCAACGAAAACGAGCATACAAAGGAAAAACCCGAGGAAGAAGCAAAAGAAAGCACACCTCGTCCGAGGAGGCCACGTCGACCAACCATTCGCACCGTTTGGTTGCTGTGGTGCTTTGTCTTGGCGGTGTTGATCTTGGCAGCGGCGATTGCCGTCATTACCGCCTTGGGGTTTTCTGGCGAAAAAGCTTCCACCGCTACCGATAGCAGCTCCTCCGCCAATAACTCTGACTTGACCATCACAATAGACACCGGAACAGTGGTTGTGCTAGCAACACCAGAGTCTCAAAGTCCCAGTAGCACCCAAATGCCTTCAACCTTGGTGCCCACTTCGGCCTATCCCTCAGAAGTTCCAAGTGTGTCGCCGTCTGCAGCACCGACCACTTCGGCCATGCCTTCGGATTTGCCCTCGGATGTGCCATCAATTGTCCCCACACAGATCCCCAGTGTTGCTCCAACAATGGCACCAACGGTCTCACCCCAACCAACAGGGAGCCCATCTTTTCAACCATCGGATATTCCTTCCGACGTCCCCAGTGACGTCCCGAGCAACGTTCCAAGTGATATGCCCAGCGAAGTCCCATCGTTCCTTCCCAGTGCTTCTCCATCTTACTTACCCTCCAGTGCTCCTACCCAACATCCAACTACTGCAGCGCCCACAGTCTCGGCAGCTCCAACTTTTGCTATTCACATTACTTTGACCGAACTATTGATGAACGTGGCGGATATACCGTTAGAAGTATTGGATGATCCAATGACTCCACAAGGACGGGCGTTGCAGTGGATGGCCACTGAAGATCAAGTCGTCCTGCAGCTATTTGAAGAGTCCGCGGAGCTTGCCGCTGTCGACACGATCGTGGATGAATTTCTCACTGTTGCTACAGATGACAATTCTACTACAGCCAACTCGACCACTGTTGTGCTCCCTCCTCCATCCAGTAGCACACCTGCACCACAAATCCTTCTGCATTTGCCTCAACGCTTTGCCATCATTGCCTTGGACTTTAGTCTGCATGCCGATTCAGGTTCCTATTGGAGCTTCCCAAGGCTACATGAATGTCAGTTTCCTGGAGTGACATGTGACCGTAGTGAAGAAGTCATTGGCATCAACTGGGCTAGGCAGAATCTGACAGGCTATGTAGTGCCAGAGATCTCGCTCTTGACCGAGCTTGAAACCTTGGACTTGGCTCAAAACCAACTGACTGGATTCCTAGATCCCTTTTGGAGTCTTCCCAAGCTCAAGACACTGTACTTGTTTGAAAACCAATTCTTTGGTTCCATTGGGCCAGAGATTGGTAACATGTACAGTTTGGAGCAACTCTACTTGGGAAACTGCGACTTGACAGGCAGTCTACCAGAGGAGCTTTTCGACTTGGGCGATCTGAGTAAGAAATAAAAAGTGTATCGTATGATCGCGACTGGGAATGCCTGTTTTCGCTAACTGCTCCTTGCCTTCATCCGACTTCTCAGGGTATCTGATCTTGTCGTACAATGACTTCACCGGGACACTTCCAGATAGAATTCGCATGACAGATATGTACTATTGGGATCTGTCTCACACTAGAATCAATGGGACACTGCCGTCAACTATGATCATGCCTAGTTTGAGGCACTTTCACATGGATAACGCTCTTTTGACAGGCAGCATTCCAAATGTAAGTGTGGTCAAGTAAGATCTGCTTGGCCGAAAACATGGCACTTACTTTCTGCTCTCACGGCACTATAGGATTACGCCAACTTGGGGTCAAATCGTCTTTTTCAGTTTTACCTGAATGACAACCAGGTGCGTCTGCGACTCCAATCCAATCTGGTTGCGTCATGGCATGCACTTCATGTTGAGTTAGTTCTCACAGTTTTTTTCTTTGGCTCGACCATCTTCAGCTTACTGGAGCCTTTCCAACAGGATGGCACACAAAGCTTCCCCACAAGCACTTGAGTAAGTCTGACGTAGCGTCGTCTTCCTTTCTGTGAATGCCTTCAATTCATCAACTGATCTGACTCACGCAACCTCTTTGTATCTCCAACCACAGCCAATGTCGATATTTCGAATAACCAGCTGTCAGTTCCATTGCCATCATCAATTTGCATGTTGACCGTTTATGAGGAGGGAGGTAAGAACGCAACTGCTTTTTCCGGTTGATCGCTTGCATGTATCTAGCTAACCCGTCGTATTGCTTGGCGACATAGAAACGGTGGAGTTCAGGGCTGATTGTGACATTTGTGTATGTGGTCGGCTCTGCTATCGATGGTGCGATGAAAGATTTCAGTAGAGTCCTAGAGATGTCGAGGTACAAAAATATCAGTACCATACTTTGCATGATGGCGGTCTTGGACGAACAATTAGAGTTCCATGCAATACACTGTACTCATTTCAATAAAACAGTAGCCGACAAAATTATGTTGTGTTTGCCAACTAGTCGAGCTAGCTAGGAAGGGAGCTACTAGTACCCAATGTGCCACATGTCGTGGTGGGCTTGCCGGATATCGCGGTTTCGTTTGGATGGCTATCCACGGTCCAACCCGACGGGCCGTGCTCTTCCCGAAATTCCGTACTGGTACCTGGTACGATTGGTGAATAGATCATCGGTAGGGAAGTGTGGGGGCTGAGTTGGTTGCCTTGCCTAACATTGTTGCGGTGTTGGGATTGCTTTGAGTGCCATTGCTGCGTTTTGTTTTCATCGGTATTTGCTGCGCATGCATGGAGGATCATTGGAAAACAGGTAAACAGAACTGCAAATGATGAAAGCACCAAAAGAAAACTGCTGCGAGAGGTGCACTTGGAACAATAAAGTTGACATCACTGATGCAACAACCACACCAACGCCCATAGCCAGGCCTTTCATGACATTATCTGCGTACTTCATAACTGACGAAACCAGCAGCCCTCCTCCTGCCTGCAACAACACAAGTACCCTGGTGCAATTTTATAAAAAGTAGAAAAGCTTTTGAGTCAAGGGCATCATTTTGGCGTACAATGGGGCCTGGGGCCTCCGCTTGGCAAACGTACCAAACCCAAAAGGTAAAACCATGGAAGTACGGCTGGTCATAGTCAATGGAATCTGATGCGCTGATTCTGTCGTCATCTTCAATGTTGATTACTGCAACCACATTGACCGTACCCCAGATCTCACGGAGCACGCAAAATAATATGCTGAACAAAGCCAGTTGCATGTTTCTGATCCAAAGACTCTGGGCCGCCACTGCTGAGGGCCTTGTATCATCGTGTGTGGGCTTGCCTGTGTCCACAGATTTCAACATACTATTCTTCTCATTCATTACGGCGGTTTTGTTGGAAGCAGCCTTTTCTGGGGCCAAGACCTTTTCAAAGTATACCCCTGCAAAGGCACTTGTTAAACATGCTCCAGTTACAGCCAAAACACCGACCAAGAAGAATTCCATTTGTTCAGACTCCATACCCATTTCATCAGCATCGATAGATGATCCTTCTGCTTCAGTCTTCTCATCAATTGCAACAATAGCCACTCCGACTGCCAGCACAACCAAGCAACACCATTGCTTCACCGAGTATTTTCGATGCAACATGGCCACTGAAACAACAGCTGTTGCAACGAGCTTCCCTTGTTGAAGTGATATAAAGACAGGAGCTGATAAGTTGCTCAGGGCTATGTATACCAATGAGTTTTGTATCACATAGAGTATTGCCGGAACCAAAACTTTGCAAGACTCCTGTGGTTGCCTCCAGATGTGCTCTTGTACTGACTCCCACAGTCTTCCTTTGGTGGCAATGTATTCTGCAAACATTGAAAGGAGGAGTTTGAAACATTCAATTACAAGAACCAAATGACTAATCTCAAAAAGCTCTTCTTCTGGAACTGCGGATCGAGTGTAGCGGCCAACAAGAATGGCGGAAGATGCTTGAATCACCAGTAACACTAGTAGTGCTGATTTCAGACTGCTCTTGGAACTACAACAACTCTCACGTGGTGATGGCAGAGAGGGAATGCAGGTTGTGCAAATGTCTAAGATACCTCTGTCATCAGACGATTCTTTTGTGGGCTTTTCAGCATCATTGGCAGATCTTGTCAAGATGTCATTTTCGATGTTCAGGAGGAGTGGGAGTTCTGCATCCTCCATTCTAGAGCACCTCTAGCTCTATCGGTGAGACTGATGCTAATTGCTCCTCAAGTATGATGATGGTGTATTGTCGTTGTTCTACTTTGGCAAGTGCTTTAGTGGATTTCGAACCGCATGAGGAACAAGAAATCTTAATAGATGAAAAAAGTCAGTGCAACGGCAAAATAACAATAATATTATAATCCATGGTTGATTGGAAGCAAGTCTACGGTGGCTAGTAGACATTTTCCGTGAGGCTGTTATCGATAGTTCACCGGGCCTCGGGTGCCCATTGGCCTCGCCGAGCCTTGGGTGGCCATTGGCCTCGCCGTCTCGCCGCGTGTGTTGACCGAACAGGTTGCACCAACGTGTTCTCGTTTGAACGCGACACCTCCCACCCGTCTTCGGTCTGGGTCCATGCAGGTCCAGCTCAGCACGGAAAATGACCCTGCGACACCACTTCCAACCTATAGAAACACCCCACTTCAGTAGGAAGCTTTAGAAGTTCTAGTTCATTATCTATCGTACGTGAACTTGCATCTGGCTGATCATGCTAGCTAGGTTGCTTTAACTTGCTTGGCATACGATGCCATGACCAGACCTCGCTGCCAATTCCTTTCTGGCTGTCCTGGTTGGGAGCCTGAATAGGGTTGCCCGACGGCGGACGACAAACTTGGTGTTCCTCCTAGTTTTGGCCACTGGCACGTTCTTTGATCGGCTTCCTTGGTCAGATCCTTTGTTGCTTGGGGGTGCTGATGGTGTCAGCACAGCCCTGCGCTGTCTCTCTTTCTTGGCACCTGTAACAGCTAGGTTGCTGCTATCTTGTAGCGGATGTTCAGAGCGAGCTTCAGAGGGCACGATAGTCGCCGTTGCAGGTCGTTGTTTCCTTGCCAGTGCAGCCTTGAAAGGACGCTTCATTAGGATCCTGCCCGTCACGCGACTGACCACCCCTGCTTCGGAGTCAATCGTTCCGGCCCTTGCTAGGTCTTCTCTCTTCTTGGCCGCTCGAAGTCTTCGTACTACTTGCTTTTGCTGATGTCGCTGTAGCCAAACGTAGGTCTCTGGGTGAACTAGCTTGCCTTCAAGGATCAGCATCTCGTCTTCTTCCCTGCACTTTTTCCAGTCTCTTTTGTCTGCTGCAAATTCCCTCTTGTTCCGGGCAGCGTTGAGCTCTATCTCCTTGTGGGAGCTCCACATCTTCTTGCGGCTTTCGTCGTCGTAGGAACGATAGGAGGGGATCTCCTTCACTGAAACTGAGCCGAAAAATCTGACCTTGGCATTTGCCTTTGGTGGCCGCCGCATATACTCCACTGGATAGCTAATGGCCTCACTGTAAGACCCTTGCTTTGGAGGTGTATTTTTGGGTTTCTCAGTGGGTCGGGATGGACTGGTATCATGGGGGCAAGTGGGGCGCGCTCCCACACTTGGTGACATTGGCTCACGCTGGTACGAAACTTGTGACGGGGCATTTTTGTTAGCGGCATGGGTATCAGAGGAGGACGAAGGAGGAGCTGGTGCGCGAAAGGACACCATCGTCACCTTTGATGATGAAATAGGATATTTGGCTACCGAGCTGTTCTGACCTCGCACCAACAGAGTCTGAGACAAGACTTTACGCTCGAACCTAGTTAATACTCGAGCTTTAATGCGATGCTTTGGTTTAGTTGCAATTGTTTTTGACAACAGTGGCGATTTCTTGCTATCGAGCTTGCGTGGAGCGAACATGTGTTCCGTTATCATTATACTGTCAGAGTCGTGGAGTACCGGTAAGTGAGGATCGCAATGGATATGGCGATGGATGAGGGTGCAATTGTAAGCGAAGCAATGGAAACAACAAGCTTGTGTGAAATAGCGAAGCATTGACTTGTCGTCATTCTCTTGTGGGCGGGAATACGGTACGGTGGCCTTGCGGGCTCTGGATCTTGGCACGAACGACCTTGGAATCGTGAGGTTTTCGGTCCCGAATTCGAAGGAAACAGTCCGTGCCGTAGCCGTGGTCCATCCAGCACAGCCAACAACCAGTGACACCAATGGAAAAGATCGACCGTGGCCGGTCCTGGTTGCTCCACTCGGCACATTCGTTTCATTCGTTAGGTTGGAGCCACGTTACCAACTTGGAACCACGAAAAGATGTAGTCCATGATCTGGATCTGGCGAGCACTTAGCCGGGCAGCCATCTATCAGCCAGGGAACGCAGAGAAGCGACCAGATTTGCTTCTTTGTTCACTGGCCTGCCTCCTGAACACAGTTGAGGCTTGTCAGCTCCTCCCAACCCTTCTTCCACACACAGATACCTGTGCAGACAGCCTCTCCAGAGTGGACCACACACGCAAAGTCAAAGCTGTCAGGGTTCAGCGGGCTGGTTACTACACATACCTACTTGTAGATGGTTGGCTAATTGCTGCTGTCACCCGAAGTAAAGCAGGAAGACTAGAGCTCCACCGTGACCACCATTCACAGTTTCGGTGAATACTCACTTGTAATAACCGCATTGGCCGTCTTCACTGCAAGGCAGATGGCGTCAGAATATGACTTGTGTATTCAGACACGGTGTTCTGATGCTGCATATCCTCCCGGAAAACCTTTTCTTTGCATCTAGCTAGCTAGATAGAGCAAGCGATGCGCTTGCTCTATGTCGTTGTAAGCGCCAACTTCTTGGCTAGCTACTAGTATGTCTTCTGAATCTAGAGGGCGAGCTAGTCTAGCTATTACTGCTAGTACCTAGTACTGGCTGTGCTTTTAAAAACAGACCCAAGGCAGAAGACCAACCTCAAAACTATTGAAAACCACCAACTAACTAGCTAGATTACAATCCTGCTTTTGCCTCACTGTACTTTCCAAGAGCATAGAGTGCCACGAACATGTAGACAAAAATGCTGTTGGGGTTGCGCCACGGGGTTGCATACGCAACGAACAGTTCCAATGGGTCGACCACCTTTCTCTTTTCTGGGCTCTTCTTGTCGTCCTGCTTCTTGATGGCGAACAATTTAGATTCGTATGGTCGCGTTGCTCTGGAAGAAACTTGTTGGCTCTGGGCCGATGTTCCGACTTGAAAGGCGTCACTGGAGCCAACACAGACGAAGGCTGCCACCAATGCTACAAACAATGCAATGCATTTCATCGTGGTTTTGCTATCGTGTCAATCGATGAGAATATTGAAGCAACCTTCGAACTCTTGTATTGGTGTTCTGCGTAGCAACAGTTTACCAACTGAGTGATCAAGCTGTGTCAGGCTCAGATCCGAAAGTATCTGACGGCGATATCATCATGGTCGGCACCGATGAAAAAGAACGTCAGTGCAGAAACGGTGCTTCGTGTGAAAAGGTGTGAACTTGAACGCACAATTTCTCTAATTTAATCAATATCCTTCCAGCTCTACTGTCTAGTAGACTGGCTATTCGTTTCGTTTTCTCTTTCTCTCTCGTTCAGATTGTGAGCTCTACAACTGAGCTCCGATATGCATACATATACCAGGATCTTTCGATCCTTTGCCTTCTCGCAGTTTCATCTACAGATAGTTCTCGTCGATCTATCATTCTTGAAGTGCATGGTTGGCCTGTGGAGGGCTTTCCCACTTTACTAAACCTATGGACCTTCATCCGTCCATTCATTTCTCCATCCCATCGCTCCTAGCATTATCTCCTCGACCTAACTTCCTAACCATTGTAGTTTCATCATCTAGACATCCATTGTCCTCTTTCCTCGTACACCTGGCCATATGATGATGATCGGATAACATCTAGATTGAGTCACAAATCCCAATCAGCGAACCGTGATGTGGACCCCGAGTCTTCTGTTCCGTCATACGAAAATACCATTTCTGACACCCTTCCTTTTTTCGCGATGATGGCAGCGACTTTCCTTACCAACTCAAACCAATTGCTCCTTGTCTCCTGTTATTTCGGTGCATGTCTGTCGAGGGTCTCGACGTTGATATTCTTGGTTCCAATGTCGACTCACTTGTCTTCCGAGCGTAACAAAATCAATCTTCACTACGCCGTCCTGCTGCATTTGTTCACGTATGTGCCACCTCGTATCCATACCTTGTTCGACTTGCACTGTCTTGTTCTCTGACATAAAAATACACCTACGTTATCGATTTAACTTGCACAGGTAGTTTCACAAGTTGATCTGTAGGAATTCAGAATCTGCGCGATGAACAGGGACTTCTCGCACTGCTACGCCAA